GGGGAGTGGGTGAATGGGGAGTATGGGGGTTGCTGGGCTGTGAAGGGGCGGGGAGGATCTGTGTGTGTTGGGGCACTAGGGAGTGGGGGTTCTGTGGGGGGTGCTGGGCAATTGTGGTGGGGCTGTGGGCAGGGGTGGTGTTGTGCAAGGTGCTGTGCATTTGTGGGTAGGTCTGGGGGGTTGCTGGGCATAGTGGGTCCAAGGGGCCTCTGGCCAGAGGGGGGCGAGGGGGGGCTGTGTGGTGTGGTGTGGGCCTGCCCCTGAGGGGAAGGGACTTGCTGGCTTTGCTTCTCCCATCAGAAAGTCATTTTTCTGCGGGGAAGCAAAGAAATCTGCGGAGAATTCTGTGCATGTGCAGTGGTGCAGAATTCCCCCAGGAGTACACATTTCAGAGAAGATGTGGACAAACTGGAGAAAGTCCAGAGAAGAGCAACAAAAATGATTAATGGTCTAGCAAACATGACCTATTGACAAAATTGGGTTTGTTTAGTATGGAGAAGAGAAGTCTGAGAGGGGACATAAGTTTTCAGGTACATAAAAGGTTGTTACAAGGAGGAGGGAGAAAAATTATCCTCCTTAACCTCTGAGGACAGGACAAGAAGCAATGGGCTTAAATTGCAGCAAGGGCGGTTTAGGTTGGAGATTAGGAAGAGACTTCCTAACTGTCAGGGTGGTTCAGCACTGGAATAAATTGCCGAGGGAGGTTGTGGAATCTCTGTCATTGGAGGTTTTTAAGAGCAGGTTAGACCAGTGGTTTTCAAACTTTTTCTGGTGACCCAGTGGAGCTGGGGATGAGGGGTTTGGAGTATGGGAGGGGCTTAGGGCTGGGGAAGAGGGTTGGGGTGTGGGGTGGGGCCAGGGATGAGGGGTTTGGGGTGCAAGAAGGGGTTCTGGGTTTGGGGGAGCTCAGAGCTGGGGTTGGGGTGCAGAAGAGGGTCAGGGCTCTGGGCTGGGGTGCAGGCTCTAGGGTGGGGCCAGGGTTTGGGGTGTGGGAGGGGCTCAGGGCTGGGGCAGAGGATTGGGTTGAAGGGGTGAGGCCTGCGGGATGGGGCCAGGTATGAGAGGTTTGGGGTGCAGAAGGGGGTTCTGGGTTTGGGGAGGCTCAGGGCTGGGGTTGGTTTGCGGGAGGGGGTCAGGGTTCTGGGCTGGGGGTGCAAGCTCTGGGGTGGGGCCGGGGATGAGGGGTTTGGGGTGCAGGAAAGGGCTGTGAGTTGGGGGGGCTCAGGGCAGGGGATTGGGGTGCAGGGTTGGGGCGTGGGGTTACCTCGGGTGGCTCTCGGTCAGCAGTGCAGCGGGGGTGCTAAGGGAGGCTTCCTGCCTGTTCTGGCACTGTGGACCGCGCTGCGCCCCAGAAGCAGCCAGCGGCAGGTCCGGCTCCTAGGCAGAGGCACGCAAGCGGCTCCACGTGGCTCTCGCCCGCAGGCACGTCCCCCCACCCCCCCGCTCCCATTGGCTGGGAACCAGCCTGTGGGAGTGCGGAGCCAGTGCTCGGGGTGGGGGCGGTGCGTGGAGCCCCGTGGCACCCCTGCCTAGGAGCCGGACCTGCTGCTGGCTGCTTTCGGGGCACAGCGCGGTGTCAGAACAGGTAGGAACTGGCCTGCCTTAGCCGGGCAGCACCGCCGACGGGACTTTTAACAGCCCGGGGAGTGGTGCTGACCAGAGCCACCGCGACCCAGTGCCTTCCATTCCACAACCCACAGTGTGAAAACCACCGGCTTAGACAAACCCCTCTCAGGGATGGTCTAGATCAGTGGTTCCCAAACTTTTCGGCATCACGCCCCCTTTTTAATTTTCGAGAAACCTTCACACCCCCCACCTCTCCTTTACCATCATCCAACCCCCCCCCGATCCTTGTCCCTGACCACCCCTTCCTGGGACTCCCCTGCCCCTAACTGTGGCCCCCGCCCCCATGGGACCCTACTCCCTATCATTGTCCCCTGACCATTCCTCCCAGGACCCCACCCCCATCCAACCCGCCCTGCTCCTTGTCCCCTGACTGCCCCCTTCTGGGAACTCACTCCCTATCCAACCCCCCTGCTCCCTGTCTCCTGACTGCCCCGCCCCCTGTGCACACCCCGCCCCCTGAGAGGCCCCCCCCAGGACTCCCACACCTATCTGACCCCCCAGTCCCCATCCCCTGAGCACCACTCCCAGAACCTCCGCCCCATCCAACCACTCCCTGTCCCCTGACTTCCCCCTCGGAACCTCCTGCCCCTTATCCAACCTCCCCGCCCCCTTACCAGGCCGGCGGCAGGACTGGCTTATTGGAAAGCCTGGGAGGTGGGCGGGCGCAAGCCGCACTGCCCATGTGGTGGCGTGGCTGAGGGGGAGGGTGGACAGGAGGGGAGGGGCCGGGGACAAGCCTCCCCGGCCGGGAGCTCAAGGGCCGGGTAGCCTCGCACCCCCCTTGGAATTTCTTCACGACCCCCCCGGGGGGCGCGCCCTGTAGTTTGGGAACCAATGGTCTAGATCAGTGGTTCCCAAACTGGGGTTCGTGAACCCAATGTTATAGGGGGTTCTTGGGGAAAAAATTCCCTCATGGCGGACAGAGCTGTCCCTAGGGACCCCGGGCAGCCCAGGGCCAGCAGCCCGGGGCCCCGGGACTTCCAAGAGCTGAGCAGGTCAAAGCAAGCATCTCTATTGCACTGAGGAGATCTAAACTTCAAGACTCCTTAGAAGAAATGGAAAAGGAGGTGGATATTTTTGCTGTTTTTAAAATTGAATAGGCAGCTAGTGTTGTTTTTAAAATTATTCTGAAGAACAAGTTTCAGCTTTGCTGTCACGTGCGCTGTCTGCCTGGACTGCTCAAGACCTGACTGCTTGTGCAGGGGGACTCTTTGAGTTGGCTTCTTAAATCCCTTCCTGCTGTTTCACATCGGATACTCCTGGAGGAAACGTACGAGCCTTGTCCTACAACAGGCTTATTCCAAGTGATACAAGCTACGAAAGTGAGCTCTTGGAAGAGTGTTGCTGTTTTCATAACGTAATAAAAATACTGAAATGATGAATAATAATAATAAATGGTATGCAATAAGCATGTCATAAAAACAAATTTTCTATTTCCAAGATCACTGCTTTTCTAATTTATACTCAGGGAAAGGAGAAAATCCCTGGAAATATTCGTTTTTAGGAGAGGGTTCGAGAGAGACAACATTTCAGTGAAAGGGGTTCACAGGTTGTTAATGTTTGAGATTCCTGGACTAGATAATACTTAGTCCTGCCCTGAGTGCAGGGGACGGGACGAGATGACTCTTGAGGTCCCTTCCAGACCTATGATTCTATGCTGGCCCCCCGTGCAGCCCTTCCCCCTGGGGGCTGGGTAGAACCATGCTCACCCCCCCAGCAGGGCCTCTAGTTACTGCCAGGGGCCTGTCTGGGGAGAGCAGTTGTGGGGATAACACACTGGGGGGTTCTCAAGGCCCCCTGGCCCCACTGTGGGGCGCAGCCCTCGAGCCCCTGGCAGCAGGGACTGGGGCAGTTGCTCACCCTGCTCAGTGTCGCCCGTCCTGTGGCTCCGCTGGGAGGGTAGAGGCAGGGCACCGCCTCCTGTCCCCACCCATGGGCCTGGCTTGGTGACATGGGGAGCTGCTCGTGCCCATCGCAGGGGGTCTGTCCTGGCACTGCCTGGCCGGTCCCAGAGCCCCCCCAGCTCACCCCACTGCAGGCGAGCCCAGACAAGCCGTTCACAGAGGTGCCAGGCCATCCTGGGCTGAGCCGTAATCCCAGCAAATATGCCCCAGAAATTTCCTCCCGCCACAAAGCCTCGGAGCAGTGCAGCCCCAGCCCGAGGCCCACCTGCCACTCCCTCCGGCTCTGGCCCTGCTCCCCCCGGGCTCCCCCTCCAGAAGGAAAGCTGCCTCCCTGCCGTGGTGTGGGGGTGGTGCTGTGGGGTTCGCCCTGCACAGGGGCCAGGAGCCCCGTCTGTGCTCCCCTCTAGCCATCTCCAGCCCCCGGCACCTGTGCAGGCTCAGACCTGGGCCCTGGGCCCCCACTGACCCCTGTTTGCAGGCAGGGAATTGGCCCTTCACCCCTCCTCCCTGCATCTTAGCCAGCAGGTCGCCCACTTAGCCATCTCCTGGGAGATGTCCCCTACAGGGCTGGGGCCATCCTGCCCCCCCTCCCCTGATATGGCAGTGCTGGGGTGCCCTGTGGGTGGTGTCTCCCCTCCTCAGCACTAGGCATTTGCAGCCATGACCCACTGTTGTGCCCTGCAGGCCGGGCCCAGGGGCTGCCCTGCGTGTCCTGTGATTGCAGCGTCCGGCTGGGCACGCCACCAGCTCCAGCCTGGGCACTGCCCATGCCTGCTCTGAGCATGGTGGAGGAAGGGGGGCTCTGCCCAGCCCGGGGCCAGGGTGGTGCTGGCCGCAATGACGACACCCCGTGGTCTCCTGAGCCCCAGGGAGGGTGGGGAACCCAACCTGGACACCTTTCACTCCTCTGCCCCAGCTCCTGCAGTGACCCCCCCAGAGCCCCCTCTGTCCCAGTCAGTTCCCTAGTCGGGATGCCCCAGGCAACGGAGCCCTGCTGGCCCGAGCTGTGGCAGGTTCCGAGCCAGTCTCCTGCCTATTGCCTGGCTGGCTAATCTGGACTGGTGGGGTTGGCTGGAGGCAGGACCTGGCTCTGGGAAATGGGGCTTGTCAAAGACCCACAGAATCATAGGTCTGGAAGGGACCTTGAGAGGTCTCTAGTCCCGTCCCCTGCACTCACGGCAGGACTAAGTGTTATCCCTGACAGGTATTTGACCAACCTGCTCTTAAAAATCCCCAATGGTGGAGATTCCACAACCTCCCTCGGCAATTTATTCCAGTGCTTAGCCACCCTGACAGGAATTTTTCCTAATGTCCAGCCTAAACCTCCCTTGCTGCAATTTAAGCCCATTGCTTCTTGTCCTGTCCTCAGAGGTTAACGAGAACAATTTTTCTCCCTCCTCCTTGTAACAACCTTTTATGTACTTGAAATTGTTATCATGTCCCCCTCAGTCTTCTCTTCTCCAGACTGAACAAACCCAATTTTTTCAATCTTCCCTCATAGGTCATGTTTTCTAGACCTTTAATCATTTTTGTTGCTCTTCTCTAGACTCTCTCCAGTTGTTCCACATCTTTCCTGAAACATGGCACCCAGAACTAGGCACAATATTCCAGCTGAGGCTAATCAGCATGGAGTACAGCGGAAGAATTACTTCTTGTGTCTTGCTTACAACACTCCTGCTAATACAGCCCAGAATGATGTTCACTTTTTTTGCAACAGTGTTACTTAGCTTGTGTTATTTACTCAGTGTTATTTAGCTTGTGATCCATTATGACCCCCAGATCCCTTCCCGCAGTACTCCTTCCTAGGCCGTCATTTCCCATTTTGTACGTGTCCCACTGAGTGTTCCTTCCTAAATGGAGTACTTTGCATTTGTCCTTATTTAATTTCATCCTATTTACTTCAGACCATTTATCCAGTTTGTCCAGCTCATTTTTAATTTTAATCCTACCCTCCAAAGCACTTGCAGCCCCTCCCAGCTTGGTATCATCTGCAAACTTTATAAGTGTACTGTCTATGCCATTATCTAAATCACTGAAGCTATTGAACAGAACCAGACCCAGAACCGGTCCCTGCGGGACCCCACTCGTTATGTCCTTCCAGCATGACCGTGAACCACTCATAACTACTCTCTGGGAACGGTTTTCCAACCAGTTTTGCACCCACCTTATAGTAGCTCCATCTAGGTTGCATTTCCCTAGTTTGTTTATGAGAAGGTCATGCGAGACAGTATCAAAAGCTTTACTAAAGTCAAGATAGACCATGTCTACCACTTCCCCCCTATCCACAAGGCTTGTTACCCTGTCAAAGAAAGCTATCAGGTTGGTTAGACACGATTTGTTTTTGACAAATCCATGCGGACTGTTAGTTATCACCTCATCATCTTCTAGGTGTTTGCAATTTGATGGCTTAATTATTTGCTCCATTATCTTTCTGGGTACAGAAGTTAAGCTGACTGGTCTGTAATTCCCTGGGTTGTCCTTATTTCCCTATTTATAGATGGGAACTAGATTTGCTTTTTTCCAGTCTTCTGGAATCTCTCCCATCTTCCATGACTTTTCAAAGATAATCGCTAATGGCTCAGATATCTCCCCAGTCAGCTTCTTGAGTATTATAGGATGCATTTCATCAGGCCCTGGTGATTTGAAGACATCTAACTTGTCTAAGTAATTTTTGACTTGTTCTGTCCCTATTTTAGACTCTGATCCTACCTCATTTTCACTGGCATTCACTACGTTAGACGTCCAATCACTACCAACCTTCGTCGTGAAAACCAAAACAAAGCCGTCATTAAGCACCTCTGCCATTTCCACGTTTTCTGTTATTGTTCCCCCCCCCACACACACACACACATTGAGTAACGGGCCTACCCCGTCCTTGGTCTTCCTCTTGCTTCTAATGTAGTTGTAGAATGTTTTCTTGTTACCCTTTATGTCCCTAGCTAGTTTGATCTCGTTTTGTGCCTTGGCGTTCCTAATTTTCTAACTGCCAACTGTCTTCAATTGTTTTTCCCCTTAGACTTGCTTCCCCTAGGATTTAACCTACCAACTCCCTGAGTTTGCTCAAGTCTGCCTTCTTGAAATCCATTGACTTTATTGTGCAGTTTCCAAGCTACCCCCAGCTTGGGAACTGTCTCTTCGATGGGCCAGACCCCCAACGGGTCCCACTCATCCTTCCGGGTCAGCCACCTGGCCTCAGCACTTCCCGAGTCTGAACCTCTGGGGCAGCAGCCCCTCTGCTTCACCCCAGGAGCTCTGACGCACTTTTTCATTGTCTCCTTGGATTTTCCAGTGTTATGGGATTGCCTTGGCCAGTCCTTCGCAATGACTTGTCCGGGCTCAGACAGCCAGGAGACGGTCTCCCAGCCTGTCCTGAGAGCAAACGCTCCTTTTCGCCTTCTGGGTGAACATGCAAAATATAGGGAAACTGAGGGGCACACCGGGGTCATAAAGATATTACAGAACATTTCCCCTTGGTCACAGTGCTGGAGCACAGAGAAGCCGTGTGTGTGTCGGGGGGCGCAACAACAGAGCTGTGGGGACCGGGAGTACTGTTAGGAAGGGCTGGATCCAGCAGGAAATGTTTCCCAGGGCAGGACCCCCCCCCGCCCCCGGAGCAGCCGCTGCTTAGCGTCCTTCCCTGACCCGGGGAAATGCTGGCCCCTGGGCTGTCGGGTGTCTGCGGAGCCCAGCCCAGCCTCTCCGCAGGGAGCTCGCTGAGCGGCGCCTGCCGGGGAGGGACTGCCAAGGAAACCAAAGCCTAACAGTTCTAGGGCAGCCAGTCACTCCACACGGGAAGCAGCCCTGGGGCCTAGGGAGCAGAGACTCTGACACCCCTGGAGCCTGGCCGCGGTGACGGCTTCGGGGGCTCTGCAGTGAGGGGCCAGGCAGCAGCTCTTTGGGGGCAGCAGAGGGACCAGCCAGAGGCCCAGAGCAGGACCTGGGGGTGAGGCCCGTGCCATGCCATCCCTGCTCTGGGGCATGCTACACAAGGTGTAAGAGGGTTCACAGAGCAGGAGAGCTGGAACCCAGGAGCTGGGTTCTGGGGGAGGACTGGGGGCTGGTGGGTTAGAGCAGGGGGCTGGGAACCAGGACTCCTGGGTTCTCTCCCGGCTCTGGGAGGGGAGTGGGGGCTGGTGGGTTAGAGCAGGGGGCTGGGAGCCAGGACTCCTGGGTTCTCTCCTGGCTCTGGGAGGGGAGTGGGGGCTGGTGGGTTAGAGCAGGGGGCTGGGAGCCAGGACTCCTGGGTTCTCTCCTGGCTCTGGGAGGGGAGTGGGGGCTGGTGGGTTAGAGCAGGGGGCTGGGAGCCAGGACTCCTGGGTTCTCTCCTGGCTCTGGGAGAGGGGTGGGTGGGGCTCTGGTTTGCTGCGTGCTGTAGCTGCTGGGCAGGGCTGTTGCTGCAGCCGCGCTGCCTGTGTTTTTTGGCAGCGTTTCCCTGTTGCCTGTGGAGCCGGCAAGGTTCAGGACGGCATCGCGGGGCCGGGGCTGCTGCAGCCCCATGAGAGTCATGGTGAGAGATGGCCCCGCTGCGCCGCCCTTGAGGAGGGGGCAGGTTAGGCACAGGCCCGCTGCCCTGGAAATGCCCCGAGGGGCTGCCGCCTCGGCGGGGCCGCAGAGGTGAAGTCTGGGCGGGTGTCAGCTCCCCGTGGGTGCTGAGGGGCTGGGAGGGAGAGGCCCGGCTCAGCAGCCGTGAAATGGTTAATGTGGCATTTCCTCTGGCCCCCCATCCCTGCAGAGGGCCCAGCGCAGCCTGGAGCAGTCGGGTCCTTGAGACGGGCTGAGATTAGCCGGAGCCGAGCAAAGGTCCTTGCTGCGCTATCTCCTCGCTGGCGGCTCGCCCATGGGAAGTGGGTGAGGGGGCAGCCCTGGGGCGAGGGCACCTTGTTGCAGCTGGCTGCGCTGCGGCATGTGACCCCTCCCCGTGGGCCAGCCCTGGGCACTGGGGCCAGGGCAGAGCCAGTGGGAGCTGCCAGCCCTCGCTGCTCACCGACCCCTCTCTCCTCTTCCAGCTCAGCGGCTGTGCATGATGGCGGCTGGGACCGAGGCCCGGGCCGGAGGCGCGGGGGGCCGGTGAGGGGGGCCGGCGGAGCCCCTGCATGGCCTGGGGCAGGTAGAGCCGAGCGCGAGGCCGGCGCAGCTGGCATGGCCGGCCTGGGCAGAGCCGGCGGGCGCAGGAGGGTTTAGCGCGGCCGGCCGGCAGCATTGCCATGGCGTTCACGGTGGCAGATTACACCGTCTTCGTGCTGCTGCTGGTGCTCTCCTCCGCCATCGGGCTGTTCTACGCACTGAGCGGCGGCCGGCAGCGCACGGTGCAGGAGTTCCTGCTGGCCAACCGCAGCATGAGCTTCCTGCCCGTGGCCCTGTCCTTGCTGGCCACCTTCCAGTCAGCCGTGGCCATCCTGGGCGTGCCGGCCGAGATATACCGCTTCGGCACCGAATACTGGTTCCTGGGCTGCTGCTACTTCCTGGGCCTCTTGATCCCGGCACACATCTTCATCCCCGTCTTCTACCGCCTCCACCTCACCAGCACCTACGAGGTGAGCGCCCGGCGGGCAGGACGGACAGAGTGGTGGGCGGGTGGGCAGAGCGATGGGCCAGGTGGGGGCAGGGGTCATGGGCCGGTGAGGGGGCTGGAGAGGAGGCAGGTGGGGTGGACGGGGCGATGGGCTGGCGAGGGGGCAGGTGGGGGGCAGGGTGGGCGGAGCGATGGTGCAGGTGGGGCCTGGGGTGATGGGCCGGTGAGGGGGCAGGGTGGGGGGCGGGGCGGGCGGGGCGATGGAGCAGGTGGGGGCCAGGGTGTTGGGCCGGTGAGGGGGCAGGGTAGGCGGAGCGATGGAGCAGGTGGGGGCCTGGGGTGATGGGCCGGTGAGGAGGCAGAGTGGGGGGCGGGGTGGGCGGCGCGATGGAGCAGGTGGGGGCCAGGGTGTTGGGCCGGTGGGGGGCGGGGCGGGCGGAGCGATGGAGCAGGTGGGGGCCAGGGTGTTGGGCCGGTGGGGGGGCAGGGTGGGGGGCGGGGCGGGCGGGGTGATGGAGCAGGTGGGGGCCAGGGTGTTGGGCCGGTGGGGGGCAGGGTGGGGGGCGGGGTGGGCGGGGCGATGGAGCAGGTGGGGGCCAGGGTGTTGGGCCGGTGAGGGGGCAGGGTGGGGGGCGGGGCGGGCGGGGCGATGGAGCAGGTGGGGGCCAGGGTGATGGGCCGGTGAGGGGGCAGGGTGATGGGCGGGGCGGGCGGGGCGATGAGCTGACTAGTGGGCTGTGGGGTGCGGGAGCAGGAGCGGGCACCGTGGGCCCAGAAGGGGGCAGAAGCGAGCCCTGTAGACAAAGCCTGTCTGCCCCCCCGCTCACCCGCCTTCCTCTCCCCGGCAGTACCTGGAGCTGCGTTTTAACAAGGCTGTACGCCTGTGCGGCACCGTGACCTTCATCTTCCAGATGGTGAGCCCGTCTGACTGGCCCCCAGCGCCGGCTCTGCCCTGGGCCCCCGGCACGGGGGGTGGCTGGGCTCTGCTGGGAGGTGAGGGGCCGATGCAGGCCCCAGCGTGCAGTGGGGTCAGAGATCTCCCATCCCGGGAGCTGCAGCTGGTCACCCCGGCTCGTCCCAAACGCATGCCCACGATCCCAGACTCTGCTCCGCACCGTGGGGCCTGCCGGGGCTGTGTGTGCACGGGGGAGCCCCCGCGCCGGGACGGCCAGGGCAGGCGCTTGGGGCTGGAGCTCCGTGTCTCGGCCAGGACCCCAGTGGCCATGTGCTTGCTGGGCCGGCATGGACGTGGGCTCGGGTCAGTTCCCGTTGCTAGCTCAGGCCTCTGGGGTGGGATGGACAGCAGCCCCTCGGGGTCCCTGGGCTCAGGGAGCACGGGCCTGAGTGTTTCACCCTATGAGAACCTGCCCTGGGCTGTGGTCTCACCCAGCACTTCCCTCCCGGGGCCTCCAGGAGAAACCCCCAGCACAGGGAGCCTCTGTTGGCCAGGGCCACGCTGGCAGGGGGCTGCACGTGGGGCATGAGGGGGCCTGCCCCACACCTGGCTCTGAGGAGTGCTGCTCATCCTCACGCTTCCTGGGAGTTGAATTCCCTGCACCCTCCATCAGCCTGGTCCCGGCTGGGCCCTGCACTGGCCTGTGGGGGGCCCTGCGGGGTCCCGGCTGGGCCCTGGCTGCCTCTGTTCCCTGTCTCTCTGGCTGGCTCAGGCCACCTGGGCACCGTAACTGCTGCCGCTTCTCTCCCCTGCAGGTAATTTACATGGGGGTTGTTCTCTACGCGCCCGCGCTGGCTCTCAATGCAGGTAACGCAGGGAGGGTGGGGTCCTGAGACGAGGGGCGGGAGGGATGAACGGAGGGGAGGGGATAGACGTACCTAAGGCCGTGGCTGAGGGATATTGGGAGCAGCTGCTCTCCTAACAGAGGGATAAGGGGACATTCAGTGACACTGATGAGAGGAAAGAGGTTTTCACCCAAGGTTCCCATAGCCTGTGGAACTCGCTGCCACTGGGTGTCACTGAGGTCGAGATTTTAGCGAGATTCATAGAGGGATCGGACGTTTCTCTGGCTCACAGAATATCCAGCGTTAGGCTGGTGAGTGCGACACCGTCTGGCAGGGAGATTAAACCTCCTGCTTTGGCGTTTCATCCCATCTCTAGTTATCAGAGCTGGGGGGCCGGGGGCGGGGGGCAGGTGACCCCGCACATCTCTCACATCTGGACCATGGCTGGAGGGGCCGGTAGTGGTGAGGCCTGTGGTGGCCCTGCCTGGCACTGCGGTGGCCCAAGGCCGGAGCTCCGTGTGCCAGGTCCAGGTGGCTTGTTCTCGCTGCTCCAGGGGTCTGGCGGGGAGCTATCAGGGCACAGTGAGACCTCCCCCACCCCAGCAGGGGCGAGGTGCGGCCAGGCCATGCGGCTCATGCTCCTCTTGCTGTGAGGGCGAGGCCCATTCCCAGGCTGGCGGGGGCTGTTCCCGCCCCAGCGTGCCCGGTGTGAGCAGGGGCAGCAGGCCGAGGGGCCAGGCTCAGGACTGGGGTCTCTGGGGTGTGCTGGCTGCCTGGTCCCCACACTTTGCTGATGGCTGGTGTTTTGCTTGCAGTGACTCAGTTTGACCTCTGGGGGGCAGTGCTGACCATGGGCCTGGTTTGCACCCTGTACACCACCCTGGTAAGCACCGGGGCTGCTCTGGGAACCTTGGTGGGGCCGTGTGGGATGCGGGACGGGGACGGTGCTTGCCTGGGCCGGGAGGCAAGACGGGAGCGGACACGGGTTCCCTGTGGCCCGGGGTCTGTCAGCGCCCAGCCTGGCCTGGGGCAAGAAGCACCAGCGGGCCAAGGGGCGACGGAGAGACCCCCCCGGGGTCCCAGCTAGGCAGCTCCCTGTGTGTCCAGGGCAGGGCTGCTTCTGGACACCCCAGGGATGGGGCATCCAGCCCTTCCCCATCTCCCTGCTAGGGAGCAGCCCCTAGCCCTTCCCCTGCCCCCAGCCAGACCCGTCTCTCCAGAGTCACCCTGACCCCTTCCCCCCCCCCCGCCCTCTGGTGACGCCCCGTGTCTGCCCCCAACCTGGTGTCGGTGCCCTGCCCCTCTGTGTCAAGGGCTCTCCCCGGCCCCAGGTGTGCTGGGGGCTCACTGCCCCCCCTCCCCGGAGAGCTCTGGGACTGGCCCCTGCTGGGTGGGGCTGATGGAGGGCGGCCCCCACGCTCCTGGCCTGTGCTCAGGGCTGTGCTGTGGGCCCCGTTCCTTCCACAGGGCGGGCTGAAGGCCGTCATATGGACTGACGTCTTCCAGACGCTGGTGATGTTCGCAGGGCAGCTGGCCGTCATCGTGGTGGGCACTGTCAAGGTGGGCGGCATGGGGCGGGTCTGGCAGCTGGCAGCTGATCAGGGGAAGATCTCTGGAATCGAGTAAGTGGAATCTTGGAGACCCGCCCTGGGCCCCCCCGGCTGGCTCCCCGGGTTCCCCGGCTGTCACACCCTCTAACCTCTGCCTGGTCCCCCAGGCTGGCTGCCTTGGGAGCTGCCCACTCAGCCCTGGTTAATGGGGTGGTGGGGAGAACCCAGCCCACTCCCATTGGACCTGCCTGCGCTGCGGGTCAGGAAAAGGCCCCGGGGGGCCTTAGACAAGCCATGGACAGATGCAGACCCCACTTTGTGCAGGAGAAACGGTCCCGTAGAGCAGAGCCCAGGGATCTGCCCTGCCCTGTAGCCGTGGGGAGCAGCCGCACTGTGCTCCCAGCCCCCGAGTGCTTGGTGGGGGCCGGGACCCATCACTCCCAGCCCCACACGCCCAGATTCCAGCACTTGCCCATCTGTGTCTCACTGCAGCCTCAGCCCCGACCCCTTTGAGCGTCACACCTTCTGGACCCTGGCCGTCGGGGGCGTCTTCATGATGCTGTCGCTGTACGGCGTGAACCAGGCCCAGGTGCAGCGTTACCTCAGCTCCCGCACTGAGCGGGAGGCCGTGCTGTGAGTATGGGGGGCGCAGGGAGCCTGCAGCCGGGCAGAGTCCCACCAGCGGGCTGGCCAGCCCCGCCGGGCCGCGGGCAGCTCACCACTGTGTAGCAGTGGGGGGCAGCTGGGAGGTGCTCTGTGCGGGCTCCACTCTCCTCCAGCGGGGCAGGGACCCCAACAGCCAAGGCCTTCAGAGTCCCCTCTGGCCCCTATAGCCTGCCAAGCCCGTCCGGGCTGTGCCCGGGGAGCACTGGGACCATCAAGACCCTGGCGTCTTCCCAGTGCTGGGCCCGGCTCCTGCTGGCGAGGCGCTCTGGCGAGCCGGTCGCAGGGGTTCCTGCCTGCACGCACCCCTGTAACACGCCCTCGTCCCTCGCAGCTCCTGCTATGCCGTGTTCCCCTGCCAGCAGGTGGTTCTGTGCCTCAGCTGCCTGACGGGCCTTGTCATGTTCGCCTATTACCAGGAGCATCCGCCCACGGCAGCCCAGAGCCAGGCCTCCTCGGACCAAGTGAGTGCTGGGCTGGGCTGGGATCGACCCCCTGGTCTAAAGCCAGGGCTAGGGCCCATGGTCCCTGTCAAGGTTCCTTCCCCACTCTGAACTCTAGGGCACAGATGTGAGGACCTGCAAGAAAGACCCACTAAGCTTATTCTGACCAGCTTAGGTTAAAAACTTCCCCAAGGTACAAACTTTGCCTTGTCCTTGAACCCTATGCTGCCACCACCAAGCGTTTTAAACAAAGACCAGGGAAAGAGCCCACTTGGAGACGTCTTCCCCCCAAAATATCCCCCCAAGTCCTACACCCCCTTTCCTGGGGAAGGCTTGATAATAATCCTCACCAATTTGTACAGGTGAACACAGACTCAAACCCTTAGATCTTAAGAACAATGAAAAATCAATCAGGTTCTTAAAAGAAGAATTTTATTTAAAGAAAAGGTAAAAGAATCACCTCTGTAAAATCAGGATGGTAAATACCTTACAGGGTAATCAGACTCAAAACACAGAGAATCCCTCTAGGCAAAACCTTAAGTTACAAAAAGACACAAAAAGAGGAATATTCATTCCATCCAGCACAGCTTATTTTACCAGCCATTAAACAAAAGGAAATCTAACGCATGTTCTAGCTAGATTACTCACTAACTTAACAGGAGTTGGAAGGCTGCATTCCCGATCTGTTCCTGGCAAAAGCATCACACAGACAGATCCTTTGTGTCCCCCACTGCCCCCCTCCAGATTTGAAAGTATCTTGTCCCCTCATTGGTCATTTTGGGTCAGGTGCCAGCGAGGTTACCTTGGCTTCTTAACCCTTCACAGGTGAAAGGGTTTTGCCTCTGGCCAGGAGGGATTTTATAGCACTGTATACAGAAAGGTGGTAACCCTTCCCTTTAGAGTTACGACAGTCCCCTAGTCTGCAAGAGCACTGGGCAGCTTTCTTCCTTGCATGTAGACAGCCCCTCGGCCTTGCTCCCATCGGGGCCCCATGGGCTCACTGCTAGAAGGGAAACCTTCCCAGTGGCCCGATGCCCGCCTGAGTCAGCAGAGAGCCTGCAAAGACAGCTCTGGGCAGGGGAACGGCACTTCGTAGCCCCAGGGCATTAACTCTGAAACCCAAGGATGGTGGCTCTGAGTGATGGTGACGCTGCTAGCGATGGTGCTGCTGATTGTTTTCATGTGCTCTCCCTTCCCCTGGGTGCCCCTGGCCTCTCACCCACACCTTCCCCGGCCAACCAGTGCCCTGACCTCCTGTGCCCTCTCCCATCCCCTGGCTGGTGCCCTGACCAGCTTCCTGCCTTTGCAGCTGGTTCTGTACTTCGTCATGGACGTCCTGAAGGACCTGCCTGGCCTGCCTGGCCTCTTTGTCGCCTGCCTCTTCAGCGGCTCCCTGAGGTGAGTGCCCCGTGCCCGGGCAGCGCCCAACGCCAGGTGCGGAGAGTCCCCTGAGTCCAGGCTGGGGGTGACGGGAGCAGGCCCCTCCCAGCCGGCCCCAGCTCCAATCTCTGCCTTGCAGCACGATTTCCTCGGCCTTCAACTCCCTGGCCACGGTGACCATGGAGGACCTGATCCACCCCTACTTCCCCGGCCTGCGGGAGTCCTGGGCCACGCTGCTCTCCAAGCTGCTGGGTGAGTTGTGCTCCCTGTTGGGGGTCCGTGCCACACTCCCGGGGGGAGGGGTGTCCTCCCAGCCCCTTGATCCGCTGCCAGGTCCCAGTAGCCATGCAAAGAAAGACCAACGCTGCCATGAGCCAGCCCCAGGGCAGGCAGGTCTGTGGGAGCTCTTCCCCGTCTGGATCTGCTTCCCCAGCTCTGCCAGTGCCCTCTAGTCCTGACCTGCAGCCCCTGCTGCCCCAGGCTCCTGCTTGTGCCCTGCCCCGGGGCAGGTGGTTGTATTGAGTGATGCTGGTTGGGATGCTTGCAGCTTCTAACCCCCTTTTCCTCCCCATCCCCAGCTCTCAGTTATGGCCTGCTCTGCCTGGGGATGGCCTACCTCTCCTCCATGATGGGCCCCATGCTGCAGGTAGGACCTGGCCCCTCGGGACTCTCAGCCCGGAGGGGGTGTGGGGGGGAGCTGGTGTTCTGGCCACTTGTCAAAGGACTTTGTGCTCAGATTCATAAACTCCTGGGCTTCAAGGCCAGAAGGGCCCATAGAATCATAGAATATCAGGGTTGGAAGGGACCTCAGTAGGTCATCTAGTCCAACCCCCTGCTCAAAAGCAGGACCCATCCTGATCCTCCAGTCAGACCTGCCCACTGCAGCCCCCAGAACCGCCTCCCGCCCCTGCAATAGACCCAGAGCCTCTGGCTGAGTCACTGATGTGCTCAAATTAGGATGTAAAGACTTCACATGACAGAGATTCCACCATTCACAGTAGTTCAAACCAGCGAGTGACCTGGGCCCCAGGCTGCAGAGGGAGGCGAAACCCCCCCAGGGTCTCTGCCAACCTGACCTGGGGAAAATTCCTTCCTCGCCCTAAATCCAGGGATCAATTAGACCCTGGGCATGTGGGTGTGACCCACCAGCCAGACAGCTGGGGAAGAATTACATAAGAAACATAAGAATGGCCCTACTGGGTCAGACCAAAGGCCCATCTAGCCCGGTATCCTGTCTACCGACACTGGCCAATTCCAGGTGCCCCAGAGGGAATTAACAGAACAGGTAAACACCAAGTAATTCTCTGCAGCAACTCAGAGCCCTTCCCCCCCATTGACCCATCACCAGCCGTTGGGGAGATTTGCTGCTAGCGGTCGCAGATCAGCTCCATGCCATCGTAGGCAGCCCCATCACACCACCCCCTTCATAAACTGATCACGCTCAGGCTGGAAGCCAGTTTGGGGTTTTGCCCCCACTGCTCCCCTTGGGCGGCTGCTCCAGAACTTCACTCCTCTGGTGGTGAGAAACCTCCATCTAATTGCAAGTCTGAACGTGCTGATGGCTAGTCTCTAGCCGTGTGTTCCTGTGCCCACATGGGCACTTTGCTTCAATAACCCCTCTCCCAGCCCGGTGTTTATCCCTGGGGTGGATTTGGAGAGAGCAATCCCATCTCCCCTCGGCCTGCATCTGGTCAGGCTAAACAAGCCGAGCTCGTTGAGTCTCCTCCCGCAAGGCAGGTTCTCCATTCCTCCGATCAACCTCGTCGCCCTTCTCTGCACCTCTTCCAGTCTGAATTCATCGTCCTTTCCCGTGGCAGAGCAGCCCTGCCCACAGTGCTCCGCTGAGGGCTCACCAGTGCCTGGTAGAGTGATACTAACTCTGCCCGTCTCTCCGGGAAATCCCTCGCCTGATGCACCCTAGGACTGTGTTAGCCTTTTTCACAGCCGCATCACGCTGGCGGCTCATAGTCCCCCTGTGATTGACCCCTACACCCGGGTCTCTCCTCCTCCCTTGCTTCCAAGGGAGACGTCCCCAGCGCACCGTGCCTTGTGTAACGGTACCAGCACGTCCCTGTCTCTTGGCCTGTGCCTCTGAACGCCCGGCAGGTGCCCTAAGAGGTTTGCTCCTGGTGCATGTCTTCCCCCAGCCTGTGTGTTGCAGCCTGAGGCAGGGAGCCCAGCTGCCCTCTGTCCCGGGGGGCTGCACCCTGGCTGCAGGGGTGACGTGCTTTCCACCCACAGGCTGCCATCAGCATCTTCGGCATGGTGGGCGGTCCGCTGCTGGGACTCTTCTGCCTGGGGATGTTCTTCCCGTGTGCCAACCCCACCGTGAGTCTCTCTCCCTCCTGGACCCCTTCCTAGGGTCTTCGGGCCCCTGCCCCTTGCTGGGCCTGCCTCCGTCCCCCTTTGGGCCTGGCCTCCGAGCTGGGGTGGGAGGAGCGCAGCAGGCCTGGTACTGGCCAGGCCCCAGCTGCTGTGAATCGCTGAGCTCCGCTACAAATGACACGCCACGGGGGAAACTGAGGCTGTGCCCAGCGGGGAGATGGATTCAGCTGGGGCATGGCCCCTCTGCCGGCTGGGCTGGGGTCTCAGTGCCCCTCGGGGTCAGGGAAGGCCCCGGAGCTGCATGGGCTGCCCTTGACTGTTGTTCCCGCGTGCAGGGTGCGATCGCCGGGCTGGCAGCTGGGCTGGCCATGGCTTTCTGGATCGGCATTGGGAGCCTGGTGTCCAACCTGCAGGCGGCCCCCTCGGTCCCGGCGCTGTCCAACAGCACCGACTTCCCCCAGGCCAGCAGTCTGACCACGGCCATCGCGACCACGCTGCTGACCTCGGCCCCGGCCCCCAGGCGGTGAGTGGGGGGAGCCGTGCTGCGGGGGGAGTCTGGCCCCAGCCCTTCCCTGAGCATCTTGGCCATGGGGGAGGGTGCTGGGGACAGGGCCCCGGTGCCTGCCAGGCGCAGGGGAGGGTGCTGGGCCCTGGCTGGAGGCTGCTGGGATACAGAAGGAGCATCCCCCGGCGGGGCGAAGGGTCGTTGGGCCGGAGCTGGTGGGTCCAGGCTGCCTTGGGGGCTCCGAAGCGCAGCCGCAAACCGGCCAGGGCCTGTTAACATCCTGCCAGGCTGCAGACGCAGGTGCGTGGGGTCCTGGGCCTGTGGAAGGAGCAGAGGCGTCCAGTGGCAGCTGGAGCCCGCGGCTTGTGTGCCAGGCCTCCAGCTGCCCCCTAACCCGGGCTGTTCCTCCCCGCAGCCTCTCGGGCCTCCAGAAGTTCTACAACCTGTCGTACATGTGGTACAGCGCCCACAACTCCTCCACCGTCATCCTGGTGGGCCTGCTGGTCAGCCTGCTCACGGGTACGTGCCCTGGGAGGGGCTCTCATGGACCCAGAGGGTCTGGCTACACCCCAGTTTTAAGCAGGCCCTGGCGTGCCAGTCCCGCAATGGGAGGGCTCCAGCCTCAGCCCGTAGCTCTGCCCCACTGAGCCAGACGCCCGGGAGAGACGCGGCCGCTCTGCAGGGCCCCCTGCCCCCGCCAGTGCCTGCAGAGACGCCAGGCAGCCTTTCCCCCAGAGCCGGTCTCGGCCCCCTGGGCGCGGCATGGGGGGGCCCTCGGCTTGGCCCAGAGGAGTCAGGGTTAAGTCCCTGCTGGCCGACACCAGGGCCCCTGGAGCCAACCTGCTCCAGGAACCAGGTCCCTGCTGTCCGTGGGTCTGTCCTGGGCTCCTGCTGTCTGCCTGGATGTGGCTGTAGCTGGTCCTAGCCCTCGATGGGGCCGTGCCCCCACCTCCTGTCTCCTACCCAAGAGCAGCCCCCAAGGGCTGGTAGCCCTGAGCCCGGCGGGTCACAGCCAGGCCCGTCGGTCAGGGACAGGACAGAAAATTCCACTCTTGGCTGGGACAGGGGGAGGGACTGGGGGTGGGAGGGGGGATGAAGGGCTCGTGGCTACTGGCAGGAGCTCGGTTTTGGGCCCCCCGGGCTCCCTGTTAGGACAGGGGGCCGGACGCCCCTGGCAGCGCAGCCTGGGCCTGGCCCATGCCCGGAGAGCAGAGGCTACGGCCCAGCATGTAATGCTGCCCCTTGGGGGGGGCGTCTGTCCTGAGGATGGGGGCTGCGGCCTGCTCCAGGCACAGCTGTTGGGTGCCGTGGGGCTGCGGGCTCCTGGCCTTGGCTGGGCTGGGCTCAGTCGCCCCAGGGGAGGGCAGGGAAGGAGAGAATAGACCCGACCCTGCCTCCCCTGGCACCGGGGCTCTCTGCGCCCCTGGCCTGGGGAAGGGCAGGCTGAAGTGCGGACGTAGGGCCAGGCCTGGCACTGGGAGCAGGACAGTTGGAGGGGTGCAGAGGGCCCGTGTAACCCGCTGTGCTCTGTCCCTCTGCCCGGGCAGGCCCCACCAAGGGAGCGACCGTGAACCCGCGCACCATCTACCCCGTGCTGCCCCAGCTGCTGTGCTGCCTGCCCCAGAGGTACCGGGAGCGGCTGAGCTGTGGGGTCGGCCGCTCCGCGGAGGTGAGTGCGGCAGGGCAGTGCAGGCCGGGACCCCAGTTACTGGCCCTGCCCGGCGAGGCACCCCTGGCGCCCCCCACTGTTCCATACGGTTCCCGCCTGACACCCCGTCGTCGCCGGGCACTGAGCCCCCTGTCGGGGGGCTGGGCGCCAGCAGGGGGCTGGTTGGCGGCTCTGTCAGAGGCGGGCGGGTGGCACCGCAGGCCTGGGGCTGGGCGCGGCCGGGGGCGCTTGGCTGGTCCTGGCTTCCCAGGGGAATTGGTTCCAGACTAGGCCCCGTGGCAGCTCTGTCTCCCGCCCTGGTGGGGGCCTGAGGACAGAGCTGTCGACCTCCATCCCCACCCGGGAGCTTTCGGCTCCGAGATCCCAGGCGCGCCCCAGAGGGAAGGGCCGAGACCTTGAACCTGACCTGATGCCTGTGGGCAGCCAGCCTAGGGGGCGGCGGGCAGGTGGGCCGTGCTGGCAGGAGCCGTGCTGCAGAGGCTGAGTGAGCTGGAGTCCCCGCGGGCCCCCTGCCCAGGTGTGTCGCGTTGCTGAAATGCAGAGGGGGGGCTGAAGCGTGAATAAGTGGGGCGGGGTCTCCTAGCCATGGAGGGGGTGGGGAGCGTTCGGCAAGGGGCAGGTCAGAGCGCTCGGGGGCTGTCACCCCTCACCCTGCGCCCTGGAACTCCCAGCCTGCCGGTCACGCACCCAGCAGCCTGGCTGCAGCCCCTCTCGCGCTCACAGGCCAGGTGGCCCTGTCCCAGACTGCCAGCCCCCCAGCTCTGGGCTCTGTACAACCGCTGGGAGGAACCCCCTTTAGTGCGACAGGCCCCCCACGTCGGGCTCTGGGGCTAGGCCCTCTGGCCCCACTACCTCCCGGCACCACCCCTCTGAGCCTCCAGCACGCCTGTCTCTGCCATGGGCCCCCTCAGGGAGCCCCCTCGCTCTGGGCCCCCAGGGCCGCCCTCCCAGAGGGAGCGGCGCCTCCCCGATCTGTAGCCAGCAGTGACTCAGCCAGCGTCACACCGGAGGTTTGAGCATCTGGACCCAGCCAGGCCGTTCTCAGGGGCCTTGGGCCTGGCCAGTCTCAGCCCCGGCTAGCTGGGTCTGTCCCTGTCCCCGTGGGCCCAGGCTGCTGCTTATAGAATCATAGAATATCAGGGTTGGAAGGGACCTCAGGAGGTCATCTAGTCCAACCCCCTGCTCAAAAGCAGGACCAATCCCCAATTAAATCATCCCAGCCAGGGCTTTGTCAAGCCTGACCTTAAAAACTTCTAAGGAAGGAGATTCTACCACCTCCCTAGGTAACGCATTCCAGTGTTTCACCACCCTCCTAGTGAAAAAGTTTTTCCTAATATCCAACCTAAACCTCCCCCACTGCAACTTGAGACCATTACTCCTTGTTCTGTCATCTGCTACCATTGAGAACAGTCTAGAGCCATCCTCTTTGGAACCCCCTTTCAGGTAGTTGGAAGCAGCTATCAAATCCCCCCTCATTCTTCTCTTCTGCAGACTAAACAATCCCAGTTCCCTCAGCCTCTCCTCATAACTCATGTGTTCCAGACCCCTAATCATTTTTGTTGCCCTTCGCTGGACTCTCCAATTTTTCCACATCCTTCTTGTAGTGTGGGGCCCAAAACTGGACACAGTACTGCAAATGAGGCCTCACCAATGTCGAATAGAGGGGGACGATCACGTCCCTCGATCTGCTCGCTATGCCCCTACTTATACATCCCAAAATGCCATTGGCCTTCTTGGCAACAAGGGCACACTGCTGACTCATATCCAGCTTCTCGTCCACTGTCACCCCTAGGTCCTTTTCCGCAGAACTGCTGCCTAGCCATTCGGTCCCTAGTCTGTAGCGGTGCATTGGATTCTTCCGTCCTAAGTGCAGGACCCTGCACTTATCCTTATTGAACCTCATCAGATTTCTTTTGGCCCAATCCTCCAATTTGTCTAGGTCTCTCTGTATCCTATCCCTGCCCTCCAGCGTATCTACCACTCCTCCCAGTTTAGTATCATCCGCAAATTTGCTGAGAGTGCAATCCACACCATCCTCCAGATCATTTATGAGGATATTGAACAAAACCAGCCCCAGGACCGACCCCTGGGGCACTCCACTTGACACCGGCTGCCAACTAGACATGGAGCCATTGATCACTACCCGTTGAGCCCGACAATCTAGCCAACTTTCTACCCACCTTATAGTGCATTCATCCAGCCCGTACTTCTTTAACTTGCTGACAAGAATACTGTGGGAGACCGTGTCAAAAGCTTTGCTAAAGTCAAGATACAATACATCCACTGCTTTCCCTTCATCCACAGAACCAGTAATCTCATCATAGAAGGCGATTAGATTAGTCAGGCATGACCTTCCCTTGGTGAATCCATGCTGACTGTTCCTGATCACTTTCCTCTCATGTAAGTGCTTCAGGATTGATTCTTTGAGGACCTGCTCCATGATTTTTCCGGGGACTGAGGTGAGGCTGACTGGCCTGTAGTTCCCAGGATCCTCCTTCTTCCCTTTTTTAAAGATTGGCACTACATTAGCCTTTTTCCAGTCATCCGGGACTTCCCCCGTTCGCCACGAGTTTTCAAAGATAATGGCCAATGGCTCTGCAATCACAGCCGCCAATTCCTTTAGCACTCTTGGATGCAACTCGTCCGGCCCCATGGACTTGTGCACGTCCAGCTTTTCTAAATAGTCCCTAACCACCTCTATCTCCACAGAGGGCTGGCCATCTATTCCCCATGTTGTGATGCCCAGCGCAGCAGTCTGGGAGCTGACCTTGTTCGTGAAAACAGAGGCAAAAAAAGCATTTAGTACATTAGCTTTTTCCACATCCTCTGTCACTAGGTTGCCTCCCTCATTCATTAAGGGGCCCACACTTTCCATGGCTTTCTTCTTGTTGCCAACATACCTGAATAAACCCTTCTTGTTGCTCTTAACATCTCTCGCTAGCTGCAGCTCCAGGTGCGATTTGGCCCTCCTGATTTCATTCCTACATGCCCGAGCAATATTTTTATACTCTTCCCTGGTCATATGTCCAACCTTCCACTTCTTGTAAGCTTCTTTTTTATGTTTAAGATCCACTAGGATTTCACCGTTAAGCCAAGCTGGTCGCCTGCCATATTTACTATTCTTTTGACACATCGGGATGGTTTGTCCCTGTAACCTGAACAGGGATTCCTTGAAATACAGCCAGCTCTCCTGGACTCCTTTCCCCTTCATGTTAGTCCCCCAGGGGATCCTGGCCATCCGTTCCCGAGGGAGTCGAAGTCTGCTTTCCTGAAGTCCAGGGTCCGTATCCTGCTGCTCTCCTTTCTTCCCTGTGTCAGGATCCTGAACTCAACCAAATCATGGTCACTGCCTCCCAGATTCCCATCCACTTTTGCTTCCCCCACTAATTCTTCCCGGTTTGTGAGCAGCAGGTCAAGAAAAGCGCCCCCCCTAGTTGGCTCCTCTAGCACTTGCACCAGGAAATGGTCCCCTACGATTTCCAAAAACTTTCTGGATTGTCTGTGCACCGCTGTATTGCTCTCCCAGCAGATATCAGAAAAATTAAAGTCACCCATGAGAACCAGGGCCTGCGATCTAGTAGCTTCAAGTAGCTTGTCCCAGTGCAGCCCCCTCCTTCCAGCCGAGCCTCTATCTCCCCTCCCCCACCAGTCCCTCCTCTGTCCTGTGTCCTCTGTCCCAGGTAGACAGGCCGCCTGGAGACTCTCTCCCAGCCTTTGTTCCCCCACCTGGGCTGGAACCAGTGGGGCAGGTCCCCCCGGCCCCTCTCTCCTCAGCCCATTGTCCTCCCACTGGCCAGAACCGGCTGGCTCCCGAGCTGGGCTGGGCCTCCCAGGCACCTGTCACTGGGTCCCCAAGCTCCAGGCTGTGTCCAGGGTCCCGGCTGCTAGGCGAAGTCACACCTGGTCCTCTGCAACCCCCCCTCTTCCACCCTCTCGTTACACACGCAGCACCCAGGGAAACTGAGGCACACACAGTGTTCATGCAAAACACAAGAAAATTCCCAACTTCGTCCCCGGCCCCTACAGACTCCCAGTCCTGAATGTCCCTAAAGCCCTGTGCCCTGCAGCGCCCAGCCCCCCGCACACTCAGAGCATAATACAGCTCCTTGCTCCTTTAGAGAGACCAAAGCAGAATACATCTTGTAACCCTAACTGGGGCGAATCCACCCTGCTCTTCACAAACCACCCAGAGCTGGTTTATTGTACAAATAAACAAATGATTCACAACGTAGCCAGCAGGGTAAGGGATTTTGGGCGTAAGGAATGGAGGCAGACAGCGACCAGTAAAACACAACCAACTACACGTTCTAGTGACCTGGGCTTTCTTCAAGGTGGATTTCTTACCGACCTTTCTCCTTCCCAGCCATGGCTGGCTGGCTCTCCACAGACGTGCAAGAGGCTGGTTTCTTTTGGTGAAAGCTCTTGGCCTATGCAGGTGTCTCACCTGCATTCAGTTTGCAGAGATTTCATGCCCCCTCCTCTGGCTTGAAGGACCCACCTTTCTCCGCGTGCCAGAGCCCTATTCCCTTGTGCCTGCCTAGTGCCAGGTGTCACAGATGGCAGCTGGTTTTGCCGATGTCTCCCAAAGGCCAATGACCTTGTTTTAAGAGGTCGGTTGTCTGGATGTTTTTCCCATCCCTTGCCTGAAAATGGGGCTTCCAGGTTGTGACTTCACCACCCTTAATGGACATAGGAGACAGGTGGACAGTGGTGACGTTCCCTGCTGGCGGGGAAAGACCCGTTTCTCCTTTGCTAGGACACTCTGTGAAGCCCAGTGTCCATGAGTGCCCACAGTTCCTGATGGAGTGTCACGGCCGTGCAGACATTTGGTGATGCTGTTAATCACTAGCGTGCCAGGCCTTCACTAAACACCTCACTCCATACACGGTTATAACCCAGAAATATTGGACACAATCAGGTGATCCAATTGCTTAGCACTTGATGTTCAGACCCCCTGTCTTTATAGCCCAGGTAAAGTTTCTCTTCCCTGCTGGAAGCTTTCTCCTGCCCCGCTTGGTAGCTTGGGGCTTCGTTTGCCTGACACGTCAGTAGACCTGCATTGTCTCTGCTTGACCCTGGGCTGGGCGTAGAAGCAAAGACGCCTTCCTTTGTCTAGGGCAGACCTGTTTACCAACCCCCCTGACGTGCCTGGTTTAAACCCCCGTTAGTGTAATTCCAGTGTGTATCCATAACTCTTACTACACACCGCACGTACATCACGCAAGAACATGAACCACCAGCCGGGGACTGACCTGACCCTCACCCGTGGAGATGGCACCGGGCCAGAACTCCTCAGCCTGGCTTGGGGGCGCTGCCAGCCAGCTGTTCTCCAGGCCCGGGGCCATCTTGGGGGTCGTGTGGGGTGGAACGTGGCAAAGGGCAGACAGAGCGGGAGGGGGTGCTGGAGCCCCTGCGTTTGACCGGCTCACCTGGCGGCTGCAGGTGGCTGTTGAGACGGGCCCGAGGGAGACCTGGTCCTTGCGGCGCACAGCCAGGGAGGGGCTTGGGGGGAGTGGCCCTTCCCAACCCTGCTCTTTGGGTGCATCCCTCCAGGAAGGACTCAGCCCACTTCAGCGCGTTCCCTTGGACCCGTCCTCCACTCTCGGGCGAGCCAAGCGTGCCCTGGTCAGCAGGTCGAGCTCAGCCAAGGGGACACGGGACAAGGCTGGGTGTCTGACCTCTGTCCACTGGCAGGCGGGAGCCATCCATCAGCACCTCTAGGGCAGGTTCCATCCCAGGGCCTGGTCCCAGTCCAGCTTGGGCCGGGTCCGGGACGTTCGCTCCAGGTAGCCGGCTGGAGTTTACTCTTTCTGAGCTAGCTCGGGGCTGGGAGCTTTAACCGCTGGGCTAGAGCCGGCGGCTCAGGGTGGGCCCTGCAGGGTGGGCAGGCGGCTGTGGGTTGGAAGGAGGAAGGGAGGCGCTGGCTGTTCCAGGCAGGAGTGGCCCCAGGATTCTGCCCAGCGCTTGGCTCGAGACCGGACCTCGAGCAGGGCCTGTCCTGAATGCTGGGAACAAAGGCAGCTGGTGGCTGGCAGGCGTAGATAGCAGGTCTGTGGTGCCAGTCTTATTTCCTGCCCCCTGAGCCCACCGGTCCACTCCCCCTGGACCAGATAGGGGCCAGTGCCTGCCAGCAGGGAAAGACCCCAGTCCCCCTCTCAGGCTCGTCTCTCCCTGCGCAGGACGGGAGCTGCGAGGAGCCCGGGAGCTGTGAGGAGCCCGCACCCTGCGCCCCAGAGAAGACCAGCAATGGAATGCTGAACGGCCCTGTCGGGGGCCTGGCCCGTGTGGAGGAGGCGGAGGGCGAGGGCTTTGCCAGGGTGGAGGGCGCTCACACCTACGTCCTGCAGGAGACGTCGCTCTGAACAGGGCCCCAGGCACCAGGGTGGGAGATGGTGTCCGGCTGCTGGGGGTGGAGCACAAAGGCCACCCTGCGAGCACCGGGCTTGCCCTGGGAACAGCCCCGCTCAGCATGCACAGTGCGAGGGGGCTACTCGTCTCACAGCTGGGCTGCTCCCCTCCTTGGGCGGGTTCCCGGGCCCCCCCACGCTGTTCCTGCTGTGGGCTCCACCCACACTCAGGCCGCAAAGTACCAAATGACCCATGGGGCTGTCTGGGGCCCAACCTGCACTACCGGAGCCCGGCTGATGGGAGTCAGGCCCCGGCCCTGCCTTGCTGGCCACTTGCCCACACATGCCCTGGGTGGCATGGGGTTAACACTGTGATGTGCCAAGCCTGGGGGCAGGGTGGGAACCCCCTGGTTCCCAGGCCTGAGCTGGGCCTTCCTTGCACTGATGCATCAGGCGATGCTGTGAGGGGACCAGCTGGCCTTCCGTCGTGTGGGGCCACGTGCCCCGGATCAGGCCCTCATTTCTATGTGCGCTAATCTCTGGAGTCCGTCCATCCCTGCACAGGCCTCACCTGCCCATGGGGGGCGGAGGGGGTCTCTGCAGGACCCCTGGACCCCACTCATTGGCTGAGGTCTGGGCTGTCTGCCCCCGGAGCCAAGTGCCACCGGGCCCTGGGCTCGGGTCGGCTCGTGACAAGGGGGAAGCGAGGCTGTGAGCCAGCCCCTTGGGGCGCTGGCAGGTGGCTGCGTGGGCCCAGCCTGGGGCGGCACCCTCCCGCTCTGGCTGGGGGGTGCTGGGATTCTGCAGTACAACCTCATAGCATGCAGCGGCCCCCAGGCCAGGCTCTGCCCTAGGCTGCAGTCTGTGCTGGGGGCCGTAGTCTGCTCAGGCCCCTGCTCTGCTTGCAGGGGAGATGATGGACCAGCTGCATTCCTGGGGGCTGCAGCTCTGCCCTTGCCACCTGGGCTCGGAGCGGCCATTCCAGCCCTTGCTGGCGCCTGGTGCTGCGCCATCTTGGGCTCCCCTTTGCCTGGTGCAGAGCCCGGCCTGTGCCCCCCCCGTTACCCCAGGGGTCAGTGACTGTGCTGCAGAGTAGACTGATGTGTCCCAATGCGGACCCCAGGCAGGGGTGCTCCAGCTGGGGCAGGGCAGCCGTACGCCGGTTGCCCCGCTGCAGGTACGTGGGGGCGCAGCTACAATTTGCAATGGTACCCCCTGCTGGCAGCCCCCTCCACAGCCAATGTCCCATGCTTGCAGCCTCCTGCCCCCCACTCGCAGCCCCCCACTGCCAGTGCCCCCTGCTCCCAAACACCCCACCCCTGCTCCCCATTCGAAGCCCCCTTCCCCCTGCTTGCAGCACCCCACAGCTGCCCCCCCACCCCATCCTTGTTTCCTACCCACTGCTTGCAGCCCCCCCACAGCCAGTGCCCCCTGTTCTCAGACCCCCCACCCCCTCCTTGCCTCCAGGCCCTTCCCTGGTTCTGTTCAATTAATTGTTCTAATGGTTCGTTAATTGTCTCTAGCCCCCAGCGCCGGGGGCTGTCGTCTCAGTAAAGTGATTCTCTGCGATGACGCTGCCGTGTCGTGGTCTGGGCCCTGCTTTGCGGACCCCTCCCCGCCCAACTGCAGGGAAAGGGACCCCTTCCCCCGCCTAAGACCCAGCCAGGGGTGTGCTGGCCCCCAGCGCAGGAGCTCAGGCCTGGGCGCACACAGGGATGGGGCACTCCTGAGCTCCGGGCACCTGCCAGGAATGCTGCCCACGTACATGCCCACGGGCCAGGGAGGCGGCTGCAGCCAGCAGCGGGGCTGCGTGGGGACTGCCGGGGCTGGGCCCAGCTCTGACAGGTGGGACCAATGGTGCCAATCGGCACGGGCCGAGGCTGTCCACCCGTGTGCCCGGAGCCGGGCCAGCCCAGCCCAGCATTGGGGGCTGGGGTTGGGGCTGGCTCTGTGGTGGCCCCGTCTCTCAGGTGGGGGCGGGCTGCTCCCCAGCCTTTGACTGTCCTGGGCTGGATGCCCCAAGCAGCAGAAGGAGCCAGTCGCGGCTCTGATGGTGCGTCAGGGCCCTTGAGGCTGCCTGAGCTCGCTGGGCAGGGCAGAAAGCCCAGGGGCTGGCGCTGTAAAGGGGCAGGGGGGACAGAGCTGGCTGGTCCTGAGAGCCTCCCCGGCAGGGAGCTGGGCATGCTAAGGGGGAGGACTGGGAGCCCATCACCTGCTGCCTTTGAAATGAGCCCAGGGGTGTGGGTTGCAAGGGGGGTGAGCCAGCCCTGGGGGTGGGGGGTAAGACGGGACCTCAGTGACCTGTAGCAAATGTTGCTGAAAAGCAACACAAGCAGGTAGAGCCCAGGCACAAAAGGAGATTAAACCAGCTAGAGACACAAAGGGGAACAAGGAACATCCTCCAAATACATTCGAGGCGGGAGGAAGCCCAAGGACAGGGCAGGCTCATTACTCAGCGAGGGGGGAAGCAGTAAGAGCGTGGGGAAATGGCCGAGCTGCTTCGTGGCATCTCTGTTCCGGGTTTCACCACCGTGGGTGGCGACTGGACGTCTACCAGTGAATGCTAGCGCAAAGGAGGTCAGGTCAGAGGCTAAAAGAGCAGGTGAGTCAGGCCTTGTCTACACTGGCATTTTACAGCCCTGCGACTTTCTCGCTCAGGGAGTGAAACCCCCAGCCCCCCCGCCCCTGAGCGCTGCAAGTTTCAGGGCTGCAAAGCGCCAGTGTAGACTGGCCCAGCGCTGGGAGCCGCACCCGCGCAGGGGTGGGTATTTTACAGCACTGGGAGAGCTTTCTGCCGCGACTACACAGCCACGTTGCTGTTGAAGACGTGTCCTTCGATGCTTTCAAGTCCTCAGGGCCGGAGGAAATTTACCCTAGAATACCCAAGGAGCTGACTGAGGAGATATCTGAGCCATTAGTGATTATCTTTGAAAAGTCGTGGAAGACAGGAGAAATTCCCAAGGACTGGAAAAGGGCAAATCGAGTGCCAACCTATAAAAAGGGAAATAAGGACAACCCGGGGAATTACAGACCAGTCAGCTTAACTTCTGTACCCAGAAAGATAATGGAGCAAATAATTGAGCCATCAATTTGCAAACACCTAGAAGATAATGAGGTGATAACTAACAGTCCGCATGGATTTGTCAAAAACAAATCGTGTCTAACCAACCTGATAGCTTTCTTTGACAGGGTAACAAGCCTTGTGGATGGGGGGCAAGGGGGAAGCGGTAGATATGGTATATCTTGACTTTAGTAAAGCTTTTGATACTGTCTCGCATGACCTTCTCATAAACAAACTAGGGAAATGCAACCTAGATGGAGCTACTATAAGGTGGGTGCAAAACTGGTTGGAAAACCGTTCCCAGAGAGTAGTTATGAGTGGTTCACGGTCATGCTGGAAGGACATAACGAGTGGGGTCCCGCAGGGACCGGTTCTGGGTCCGGCTCTGTTCAATAGCTTCAGTGATTTAGATAATGGCGTAGTACACTTATAAAGTTTGCAGACAATACCAAGCTGGGAGGGGCTGCAAGTGCTTTGGAGGGTAGGATTAAAATTCAAAATGATCTGGACAAACTGGAGAAATGGACTGAAGTAAATAGGATGAAATTAAATAAGGACAAATGCAAAGTACTCCATTTAGGAAGGAACACTCAGTGGACACGTACAAAATGGGAAATGACGGCCTAGGAAGGAGTACTGCGGGAAGGGATCTGGGTGTCATAGTGGATCACAAGCTAAATAGGAGTCAACAGTGTAACATTGTTGCAAAAAAAGCCAACATCATTCTGGGCTGTATTAGCAGGAGTGTTGTAAGCAAGACATGAGAAGTGATTCTTCTGCTCTACTCCGCGCTGATTAGGTCTCAACTGGAGTATTGTGTCCAGTTCTGGGTGCCACATTTCAGGAAAGATTTGGAGAGAGTCCAGAGAAGAGCAGCAAAAATGCTGAAAGGTCTAGAAAACATGACCTGTGAGGGAAGATTGAAAAAACTGGGTGTGTTTATCCAGGAGAAGAGGAGACTGAGAGGGGACATGAGAACAGTTTTCAAGTACATAAAAGGTTGTTACAAGGAGGAGGGAGAAAAATGGTTCTTGTTAACCTCCGCGGACAGGACAAGGACTTGCATTGCAGCCAGGGCTATTCAGGTCGGACGTTCGGGAAAAGTCCGAGCTGTCAGGGTGCTCAGGCGCTGGGATAAATCACCCAGAGAGGTGGTAGAACTCCGTCACTGGAGGTGTCTAAAAGCAAGTTGGACAAACACCTGTCAGGGATAGTCTAGTTTCTCAAATGCGGCCACCGTGGCTGCATGCGGCCACCAGGGGCTTTTCTTGTGGCCACAGCCTCCTGGGTGCTGCTTTGGGGGGGCCAAGCAGTGGCCCCTCCCCAAGGGCCGCCAGCAGGGGTTGGACCCTGCCCACCCCTGGAGAGACAAACAGTGGAGCAGGCAGCCACTGAGTTCCCCACCTTCCCGGAGGTGCTGGTGTCAGACTTCCACCCTGGGGCGCAGGGCATCGGGCTCTATCCCCTGGGTGTGGGGCATCGAGCTGCGTCCCCCAGCTCACTACCTCCCCATCGGCCTCCCTCCCTATCTCCCCATCCAGGACTTAATTTGTCTCCAGGCTTACCCGGGCTGAGGCAATCTGCTGAGAAAAGGGATACTTCTATGTTCGTTAATATCACTGTTCACAGCAGACTTAGTAGCTAGCTGGAGGCTGTGAAAAGTGATGTAAACGTACAAGAATCACTTTTCACAGCAGCAGAGTTACTAGCCAGCAAAACTAAACCAAAAAGAATCAAAGAACAACAAAAAAGACAAGACTGTGCAAAGCACCTTCTTTGTGTCTACTCTGTTTAGGTCCAGTAAAGCATAGAGACAATTGTATGTTATTTTTATTACTGAGTCAGCAAAAAAAGCCCTAGATAAATAAATCACCAGGATTTGGACACGTACCTGTGCACATTTGTTTGGTTGTCCTAAAGTTAATGGCACTCTGAGGCCACCAGAAAATGTGTTGGGAGATCCCCTAGTTAATCCTTTGTCCCACCCTGAGTGCAGGGGACGGGACGGTGACTCTCGAGGTCCCTCCAGGCCGGTGAAGGGCTGCGCCTGCTTCTGGTGCTGGCTTCTGCCAGCCTCACTGAGCTGCCCCGGGGGTGCGGGTGAGCGAGTGCCAGGTTCTGCCCTGCCCCACCTGCTGTGCATGGCACACAATGGGAATTTGCCCCCCAGCTCTCATGTGGGTCGGTGTCAGCTACCCCAGCCCTTCACCGGTGAGCCTGAGGCCCCCCCACCCCAGTGCATGTAGAGCCAGCATCACAAGGCCAAGCCCCCCAGCCTGCAAGACCCCACCCCTTCTAGCAGGCCATGCTGAGCGCTTTCCTGAGGCTCTCCCTGTGGGGCAGGGGCTCCCCTAAGTCCTGTGGCTACCCCTGCAGCCTGGGTCCAGCTGCACCCTGTGCTGTCTGCTGATGCCAGGCCCTCTCCAAGGGGCAGCTGGGCGTTCCCCCGCCTTGCCAGCCTTTCTCTCTGCCTTGCCTTGGAGCTGTCCTGTGCCGCCCAGCAGCAGGGACCCCAGCTGTGCTCCCAGCCCCCCTCGCTGCCCTGGAACAGCCAGGCTGCAAATACACTGGGGGCTCTTATCTGTAGAGCAGGAAGTGCCCCCTCCCCACACCTCCAGCTGTTTTCCCAGCCCCCTCCCCCCTTCCGGCCCACGCTGTGGTTCCTAGCCCAGCCCGGCCCAGCCCGGGGCTCACGTGTGCAGGGGGGAGCAGAGCCCTTGCTGAGCTGGAGCCAGGGGTGCCGGCTACTGGGCTGGGAGTGCCCGGGGCTGGGCTGGCACAATGCAGCGGGCTTGGGCATGGCTGTGGGGCAGGTAGGGTTACCACCTTTGAGCTTCAAAAAACCCAGCCCCACCAGGGAACCCTGCCCTCCCCCAGCAGCCGCGCCTAGCGAGGTAACACAGCTCGGCACGCCTGAGGGCGCATGGCACGGCTCCTCACGCACGTGACTCAATCCCGCACGGCCGCTCGCGTGGCGGGGGCAGCCAGCCGCTGCCTGGCCCCCAGGCTGCTCGGGCATCGCCTGGCCTGTGGCCGTGGGAAGAGGGCAGCACCGCGCGCCGGCCCCAGACCTTTCACACTGGCCAGCCCGGCGCACGGGGAGACATGACGCTGGAGCCCGGTGGTTCTCAAATGTTTTGTATTGACACAGGAAGCCTCTGAGTGCGCCCAGCCCCCTAGAAATCAAAGACACAAACCCTGCCGTCCCGCCTGGCCGGGGTGGGGTCACAGCGCACGACCCCCGCTGGAGAACGCTGCTTTGGCCCCATGTCAAAGCCCAGCACAGGCCGGTCTTTTCCTGGCAACTGCAAATCCCTAAAAAACAGGGCCAGGCCGGTCAAATCCCGGCCAGGCAGTAACCCCAGGGCTGGGTCGTGGGGAGGGGGGTCGCTGCATGCACAGAGCTGGGCCCTGAGTGCCAGGGGCTGGGCACGGGCAGAACTGAACCCGTGGCCAAGGGCAGCCCCTCTCCAGACATGAATGGGGGGGTGATTTGTCCTGGCCCCTAGGCAGGCTCCAGCTGCCAGAGGCTGAAGCTCCAACCCCTGCACCCCCAACACCCTGCAGGACCAAATCCCACCCCCCACCCGCATTTGCTCTGCAGGCTGAAAGCACAGCAGCATGGGCCCCAGGCCCTGTCTGTCCGTCCCTCCATTCGTCCAGACCCCTGGCCCAGCCTGTGGACAGGGAGACCAGGTGTCTGAGGCAGCTGCATCCAGCCATCCCCAGCGAGGGGGCCCCCCCGGCTCTGCTCCCAGTGGCTCCTTGCTGAGAGCCGGGGGCACGCAGGGCTGGCACAGGGCTGGCTGGGGGGCAGTGCTCCCCAGGCCCCAGCTGTGCTGCGAAGGACCCCCCCCTTCCCGGCAGAAGCAGCTGAGCGGAGGAGAAGGCAGCCTCGTTAGTGAGCGGGACGCTGTCCAGGTGCCGGACAGATTTACGGCCCTAGCCTTGGCCCTGGCCTCTTTCCCATGGAGCTGGGTTGCTGGTTCCTCTCACTGCACCGGCAGCTCCTCCAGAGCCTCCCACCCGCAGCACCAGGAGTCGGCTGCTTGGCTGGGCCAGGTCCCCCCTTTCGCTGGGCCGGGCCCGGCTGCACCCCAGCTGTGCATTGGCCCAGCCCCCCATGGGGGCAGGGAGCACCCGGGGGACAGAGCCCAAGCGTTGGGTTGCACAAGGAAGGAGGTGGTGAATAATCCAGAGACACCATGTGCAGTGCGGGGCCCTCCCCTGCCAAGGAGAGAGCAGAGCGGGAGGGTCAGCAGAGGGCAACACGGGCTGGAAAATCTCTGCTGTGCAGAGACAGATGATTGGGCTTGTTGCCTTCCAGGGGGACAGAGAAGGGATGTGCTACAAGTCTGTAAAACCAGGACGCTCAGAGAAGGCAGATTCTGCTCTCCAAACCCCACAGCACAAGGCTAAGGGGACCATCAAGGACATTCAAAGGGAGTAATGCAGACTTGGTTACATGCTGCACAATTAGCCTACGGAACTCACTGCCACAGGAAGTTGAGAGGCAAGTATCTGGCAAGATTCAAAGAGGGGCTGCCTCTGGCTCACAGGACTCTCCAGCACCGGTGTAAGTGAGAGTCACTGTTTGGAAGGCAGTGGTTGAAACCTGTTCACTCTTTAAGAGCTGATTCTTCTGAGTGCTGGGAAATTCCCGTGTCTCAGCTTGGCCGGAGAATGGCTGTGCTCAGGGGCCCCGCGGTAGGCCCTGTGGTCCCAGCAAGGGGACCCAGAGATTTAGGGACACCCCAACACGGCCACATTTGGTAACATGTCTGGCACACACCTGGGGCCGAGACTGGCTGATCTCACCGCGGGGCCTGGTTTCAGCTGCTGCCCCCTACGGCCCCTCTGGGAAACAGGCAAGGCTGGGGGAGCCACCAGCAGTCCCTTGTGCCTGTTCCCAGGCAGGCTGTGGCCACTGAGCCCGCCCGGGTGGCACCCAAGCCCTGCAGGCCGGAGTCCTGCCCTGGCAGCTCTTGGCCAGGCTGTGCTGTGTGTGGTCGGTTTTCCAGGGAGCAGTTCCTGCTTCTGGCACTGCCAACTCCAGAGCCAGTCGCCCGGGAGAAGAGCAGGGCTGCGAGAAAAGGCAGCTGAAAGATGCAAGGAAGGGGCTGCGGCCAGGGGAGATCCCTGTGCCCCATGCTCCTCTCCACACCCTGAACCCCGGGCACGAGAGTGAGCGACGCCAGGCCAGGAGCTGAGGAGGGGTCCGAGCACCCAGAAGGGCATCCACACTGGCACGCAAGTCCTGGGCCAGGGACCAAGGCAGCACCTGGCCGCTGACCTCCCGAGAAACAGGAACTCGCCTTTATCGTGGAAAATAAACCCAGCCAAGCGCTTCCCGCACAAACTCCTCCAGGCCAGGCGAACCCAGCGCCCCCCAACACTGCGCCCCCTGCAGCAGGCTGGTCCGTGGGGGAGGGGCTCTGCAGGCGTGTTGGACACTAGAAAACATTTACTGCCAGGGCCTTTCACAATAGCTGCAGCAGACCTCAGCGCGCCCCCACCCACGGCCGCGAGCCGTGCCCAGACCACATGGGGCAGGTACAAATCACACCATACAGCAAAACACGCAATGGCTGGAGCTCTGTTTTGCCCTGGTTCAAATGTAAATGCTGGTGCGCCCGTAACCCTGGGGGTGCTACGGGCCCACTGTGCATGGGCGGGAGGAGGGTTAGTGGTGCGGGGAGGGGGCGTTTGCCCGTAAGGCACCCACTTTAATAGCCAAGCCACTCGAAGGTCCCCATGCCGGGGCACTGGCTTGAGTCAGGCACATAGTGCTGGGCAGGGCTTGGGGCGATCCCCCCATTAATGCTCTCCAAGCCACATGCACAGGGAGTGTCCCGGATGCCCGTCTGCACTGCAGGGGCGGTCGGGCTCCCAAGGGCACCGAGATGGGACCGAGGCTCAGTGCAGCCCATGCTGTGGGTGGGCACATGGCAGGGTCAGCACTCGACCTGAACTCGGCCTTAAGAGCACTTCGGGGCAGCCAGTGAAACCCCAGCTTCAGGCCTCGAGTGGCTCCTGCTTAGAGACCAGGGAGACCTTCACGCGGCAGATTAACTGCAGCTGCCACTGTGGGTTTCTGGGACCTCCCCTGTGCAGCGCCTGGCACTGACCACTGTGAGAGCCGGGACTACGGGCGAGGTGGCTCCTGGCTCGGATCCCATCCCTACATGCTCCGGCGATCCGGCCAAGGCTACCAGCTGCATCCGTGAGAACAGAACCCAGGAGTCCAGATGCCCAGGACGAGACCGTGCTGCCCGTCAAACCCGGATCACACAGCGTGGGCTGGAATGTGGGTTGAGGACCATGGCAAGGGCTGGGCAGGGCACGCTGTGATGTGGCTCCCACCTGCTTTCTGGCCTGAGGCCTTCCTCCTCCCCCATCTCTTCCCTCCTCTTCCTCTCGGCCTGGGAGCCCAGCTGTCTCCCCGCAGGGAGGGGATCAGTCCATTGCCTGCGTTCCATTGATGGCCATGGTTGGGTAGGCTGAGAGCTGTGGCAACGGGGCCAGCAGAGACCCCGAGGAGGGCTGGAGCCAGTGAGAGGAGGCGGTGCCAGCCGGGGCAGCCAGGTCCGGTGCACTTGGCTGCTGCTGCCAGGGGTCTGGGAGATCAGAGATGAGGCGAGTCCGGGCCAACCCTGCAGAGTGCTGGGGTCCCTTGGGGCGCAGGCAGCCGGCTCGGCCAGCCCCGGGCTCGGTTCCATGCAGGAAGCCGGAGCCCTGGGTTGCAGGCTGGGAGGTGTCACAGGGCTGCCCTGCTGGCCTCCGGGCTGCCCCCCTCGCAGCCCCTCCTCATCCTGCTGCTGGGGGCTGCGGGGGCAGCTGCAGGCAGGTCAGCAACATCCGCTCCCCAGGCTCCAGCGTAGAGACGGGACCGCATGGGCCATTTCTGCAAGACACAGCGGCAAGGGCTCTGCAGTGGGACCACGTGCCCGGCTGGAGGCCCCAGGAGGGAGACAGACAACCAGGGGTTGGGGAGGGCAGCTACTCCAGGCCAAATCCATGGGGCGCCCTGGGGCCTCCTGGCTCTGCATACCCAGGGGGGTCGTTCATGCCCCCAGCTGTCTCACAGGACCTGGCCCAGACACCCCCACCCGTCACTTCCCTCAGACCAGCTGCTGCCACCCCTAATACCCCTGCCTCCTGCAGAGCTATACCCGGAAAGGGCTTTTCCTGCATTTCTGGGTGGGGGACGTCCGCGCGGGGCCTGGGGGATGGGACAGACCTGCCGTGAGCAGAGCCGGAGCTGCCTGCCCCCCTCACGCCCCTCGGCCTCCCAGCAGCACTCGAACTGGGCCGGTGTCCCGGGGCCCACCACCCTGCCAAGGGGCACAGCACGCATGGCCCTGTGCTGGCACGAGCCAGGGACCCTGGGCAGCCCAGTGCATGCTGGGGAGCCTGGCCTGTTACCTTCATGGGGTGCAGGAAGCTGGGCGCCCTCGCCAGTGGGGCTGCCTCGGGGGGCTGCTGGCCCTGGTGCAAGGTGTGGGTCAGGTGGGCGATGTAGCTGGTGGCCAGGACGAGCACGTCCAGCTTGGAGAGCTTGGTGTCTGGTGGGACTGAGGGTAGTGCAGCCTGGAGTGCCAGGAAGGCCTGGCGCAGGGTCCGCACGCGGCTGCGCTCCCGGGCTGCATTCTCGGGGCACAGCTTCCCTGCACTCCCTCTGGGCAGAGCACAGCTGGCATGGCCCTGGGGAGAGAGACGGCACTGAGCCCGGACGCGCCCAAAGGTGTGACCTGGCCAGTCCCCAGCCCAAGAAGTGCGGGGACCACGTCTGCCCACAGAGCCAGGAGACCCTTCTGGACACCCCACAGTCCCTCCTGGGGTCCGGAGACCCTGCCTTACACCCCACAATCCCTCCTGGGGCCCTGAGACCCTGCCTGACACCCCACGATCCCTCCTGGGGCCCTGAGACCCCTCCCAACACCCCGTGGTCACTCCCAGGGCCTGGAGACTCTGCCCCAACGCCCCACAGTCACTCCTGGGGCCCAGAGACCCCATCCCTAATCTCCCTGTCTCGGCTCTATGCCTGGCCCATGAGCCCAGGACACGTGGGGACTCTCCTTGGTGACACCAGCCAGCCCTTGGTGGCCAGGCTGAGCCAGAGAACCTGGTACCTGGCAGTGCAGATGTGGGAGGCAGCACCCAGACCCTGAGCATTTGCCCCCTCCCTGGGCACCTAGCTGGGCACAGGGAAGAGCCCTGCACTAAGCCGAGAAATGGCCCCGGCCCGGCCCCATCAGGAGCCACAAGTTGCTGCCTGCCCCTCCCGCTCCTGTCAGTGCCTCTCAGGGGCAGAGACCCGGCATGGAGAGCAGGCCACTCCCTGCAGCCTGGCTCTTCCCTGACCCTAACCTGGTCCCCACAGAGACCTCCAGCCCCGCCCTGAAGCCTGCTGGGCCCTTGGCTTCCAGGGTCTTTTGTGGCAGCGTTCCCTTCATCACTGTTAACTGTGCCGATTTCAGCTCCACAGAGCATCCCTGACTGCTCTCGGCTGGGGGGCCCTGCAGCCCTGCCCCTGCCCCGTTCTGGGCACCCTGTCACATCCCCCCCCTCATGCTGAGCAGCCCCAGCCTTGACCCTCCCTGCCGGCCCTCATCTCCCTCGCCGCCAGCCCGCCCCTCGGCCCTGCTTGCTCCAGTGAAGTGGGTGCCCAGCCCTGGCACCGTGCCCCAGCGAGGCGCCCTTCAGTTCTCAGAGCAGCTCCCAGCCTTTTCCGGCCCCCGCTGTGCAGCCGGGCTGGCTGGTCGCTCCTGGGCCGCCCGCTGCCCACCACACTGCGGCCTGCCCTGCCCCAGCGACTGGCGCCCATGTGGTGCCCAGCCAGGGGTGCAAGGCGGGCACATCGGTACTCTGCGTGTCCAGAGTGTCCAGTCCCACCACCCTGGTGCTGCCCGGCCCCGGGTCAGCCGCCCTGGCAGCCCCAAGCTCCTCCAGTCTGTGATCGTGTGACCTGCAAACGCTGCCCCTGCTCTTCGCCCAGTCCCCCCCACGCTAGGTCGTTAACGTCTTGATTAACGGCCCCAGCCGGCGCAGAGCCCCCCACCCCGCTGGGAACGGGTCCTCCCTGCCTTCAGGTTCCTCCCTTCGCCCCAGCCAGGCCGGCTGCCTTCCACCAGCCGGGGCCGTGCCCCAGGGTTTCAGAAAGTCTAAACGTAGAACGACAGTGGCTGGAGGAGCTAGGAGCCCCCCCACACCTGCGCCCTGCCCTGCTCCCCACAGCGCCCCCTGCTGGGAGGGGCTGGGGCTGGAGGAGCCGGGAGCTCCCCCCGCAACCCGCACTCCTGCCCCAGTCCCCACGGTGCCCCCTGCTGGGGGTGCCGGGTGCGAGTCCCAGCTTGCACTCTCCCTCGGGTCCTTACCCTGCCTGCAGCTGGGAGGGTCCCCGTTGCGCTGTGCCACCGGCTGGGCGTGTTGGTGGCTCCCTGGCTGCTGCCCACCTCTCGCTGGCTTGCTCTCCTCCAGCCCGGGGGGAGCCTTGGTGAGCTTGGGCTGCCTCTCATCTTCCCGCCAGCCGGGGCAGAGGCTGGCCTGGGTGTGCACGTCGCCGGCCCCTGGCCAGCCATTCGCTTCCCTTCCACTCCTGCAAAGGTGCTCTCGGCCATGCCCAGCGCAGCGGTGCTGCTAGTCCCCGGGCCAGCCTGCTCCCATCGGCAGGTCTGGGCGGCTGTGCTGGCCAGGCGAGGGGTCCTGGGGAGAACTGGGAGGTGCTGCGTGCCGGGTGCCCTGCCTGCGGGGAGCTGCTGGGAGTACCCCACAGCGCTCGCTCCTTATCTGCCTCCTGGGACGTGTAAGGAGAGACGCCGCAGCTCGTTCCTGTTCGGAGCAGTATCCGGGCGAGCATCCCACGCTCCCCGGCCGCCCCCTCCTTGGCACTTTGCATGGGAGGAGAACGAGCGGCCCCGGTCGGAGCCTCCCTCCAGTTCTCCCAGGGCCTGGGCTGGGGAGCTCGGCTCTCCCCAGGGCAAGGGCACCGCCCGGTGCCACACGTCCTGCATGTGCCTGGCCGTGCCGGGGAGCTGCAGGCGGGCTCCTGGTCCTTCGCCCCTCAGTGATGGCTGGGATGCTGGGCCTGGGCTCAGGGTCGAGTGCTTGGCGCTGCCATGTGGGGGCCCAGGACTCCATGCCCCGCCCTGGCTTCCCGCTCCCAGGCTGCAACACCCGGCTCAGCCCCACTCAGTGACCACCTGTAGCTCAGCTCTGGGCCGTGCTGCTGATTAAAGGGCAGGGTGGCGATGACGGAGCCGGGCTGCCTGCTCCAGGCTGTGCACTGGCCCCACACCGGGCGACACGCAGGGCAGGGCCCAGCTGAGACTCCCAGCCCCATCTTGAGGTGCAGCATCCTCTCCCCGGGGACTCCCCTCTGTGCCCCTTCCTCGTCTCCTGCGCTCCCTGGAGCTTGCTCTCCTGTGGGGCCTGGCTCCCCCCAGCACAGAGCCGGGGAAAACCAACCCTGGGAGCATGACAGAGAGTGGCGAACCCCCCACCCCAGCACAGCCCCAGGGGAGGGGTCTGGAGCCGCCAGCCCTTGAGAGGAGGCGGAGCTGGGTGGCCAAGGGCGCGAGGCCGTGATGGAGCCAAGCGCCCCAGAGCGCCGTGTGGTCCAGGGCGGCCGGAGGTCAAGGAGAAGGAGGAGGAGGGAGCAGCCGGAGGAGGGGGCTGCTGTGCGCCAACAGATGAGTCCAGGGCGCAAGGGCGCAGGGGGAGGGCAGAGTCCTGGACCCTTGGCTGCGGCTGGGAAGAGCCCAGCTGGGGCTGTAAGCAGGGCCCCGAGGAGGCCGAGTTGGGGGATGGGGAAGCAGCTGACAATGCCAGGGATGGGGGCGCTGGATCGAAGGTGCCGGCCCCACAGCCAGGCGTCTCCTGGGGCTCCTAGAGCTGGGCTGGGACCGGTGGCAGCTCCCAGCACTTCGCACCCAGGTCTGCCAGGGGCCAGGGCAAGCGCCCCCTGCAGGCAGCTCTGGGATCCTGCCCATGTGCGTCACTGCGGGGGTACGGCCTTCCGGGGCGACGGCAGGAGGCCCAGGGGATGTCCAGGGAAAGCAGTGGATGTATTGTTTCTTGACTTTAGCAAAGTTTTTGACACGGTCTCCCACAGTATTCTTGTCAGCAAGTTAAGGAAGTATGGGCTGGAAGAATGCACTATAAGGTGGGTAGAAAGCTGGCTAGATTGTCGGGCTCAACGGGTAGTGATCAATGGCTCCATGTCTAGTTGGCAGCCGGTGTCAAGTGGAGTACCCCAAGGGTCGGTCCTGGGGCCGGTTTTGTTCAATATCTTCATAAATGATCTGGAGGATGGTGTGGATTGCACTCTCAGCAAATTTGCAGATGATACTAAACTGGGAGGAGTGGTAGATACGCTGGAGGGGAGGGATAGGATACAGAGGGACCTAGACAAATTGGAGGATTGGGCCAAAAGAAATCTGATGAGGTTCAATAAGGATAAATGCAGGGTCCTGCACTTAGGACGGAAGAACCCAATGCACAGCTACAGACTAGGGACCGAATGGCTAGGCAGCAGTTCTGCGGAAAAGGACCTAGGGGTGACAGTGGACGAGAAGCTGGATATGAGTCAGCAGTGTGCCCTTGTTGCCAAGAAGGCCAATGGCATTTTGGGATGTATAAGTAGGGGCATAGCGAGCAGATCGAGGGACGTGATCGTTCCCCTCTATTCGACATTGGTGAGGCCTCATCTGGAGTACTGTGTCCAGTTTTGGGCCCCACACTTCAAGAAGGATGTGGATAAATTGGAGAGAGTCCAGCGAAGGGCAACAAAAATGATTAGGGGTCTGGAACACATGAGTTATGAGGAGAGGCTGAGGGAGCTGGGATTGTTTAGCCTGCAGAAGAGAAGAATGAGGGGGGATTTGATAGCTGCTTTCAACTACCTGAAAGGGGGTTCCAAAGAGGATGGCTCTAGACTGTTCTCAATGGTAGCAGATGACAGAACGAGGAGTAATGGTCTCAAGCTGCAGTGGGGGAGGTTTAGGTTGGATATTAGGAAAAACTTTTTCACTAAGAGGGTGGTGAAACACTGGAATGCGTTACCTAGGGAGGTGGTAGAATCTCCTTCCTTAGAGGTTTTTAAGGTCAGGCTTGACAAAGCCCTGGCTGGGATGATTTAACTGGGAATTGGTCCTGCTTCGAGCAGGGGGTTGGACTAGATGACCTCCTGAGGTCCCTTCCGACCCTGATATTCTATGATTCTATGATTCCTGTGAGGAGGGGGGCTGGCAGGGGGCCCCATAGTGGTCTCTGGGAGATGGCTGGGGACAGGGTACAGGGAGGGATGGGGATGGGGGCTATGGGAGGCTGTTTGGGGCCAGGGGAGCTAGCTGGGGGCGCGGCATACGGAGGGGATGGGGGGATATGGGGTCCCAGGGGGTGGGGCAGGTTGTAGGGAGGATGGGGAGGCTATGGGGTCCCTGTGGGTGGGGCATAGGGAGGGGGTGGGGGGCTGGGGGGGCCCCTGAGGGCGGGCCTGGGAGGGGGCTGGGGGTTGTGCGGGCCCCTAGGGGCGGGGCCTAGGGAGGGGGCGGGGGAGATGAGGCCCCTGGGGGCGGGGCGTAGGGGGGCCTGTGGGGGCCCCTGGGGGCGGGGCGTAGGAAGGGGACGGGGGGATATGGGGTCCCTGGGGGTGGGGCAGGTTGTAGGGAGGATGGGGATGGGGAGGCTATGGGGTCCCTGTGGGTGGGGCATAGGGAGGGGGTGGGGGGCTGGGGGGGGCCCCTGAGGGCGGGCCTGGGAGGGGTCTGGGGGGTTGTGCGGGCCCCTAGGGGCGGGGCCTAGGGAGGGGACGGGGGATATGAGGCCCCTGGGTGCGGGGCGTAGGGGGGGCCTGTGGGCGGGGCGTAGGAAGGGGACGGGGGGATATGGGGTCCCTGGGGGTGGGGCAGGTTGTAGGGAGGATGGGGAGGCTATGGGGTCCCTGTGGGTGGGGGCGTAGGGAGGGGGTGGGGGGCTGTGGGGGCCCCTGAGGGCGGGCCTGGGAGGGGGCTGGGGGGTTGTGCGGGCCCCTAGGGGGCGGGGCCTAGGGAGGGGGCGGGGGGAGATGAGGCCCCTGGGTGCGGGGCGTAGGGGGGGGCCTGTGGGGGCCCCTGGGGGCGGGGGCGTAGGAAGGGGACGGGGGGATATGGGGTCCCTGGGGGTGGGGCAGGTTGTAGGGAGGATGGGGATGGGGAGGCTATGGGGTCCCTGTGGGTGGGGCATAGGGAGGGGGTGGGGGGCTGGGGGGGCCCCTGAGGGCGGGCCTGGGAGGGGGCTGGGGGGTTGTGCGGGCCCCTAGGGGCGGGGCCTAGGGAGGGGGCGGGGGGAGATGAGGCCCCTGGGGGCGGGGCGTAGGGGGGCCTGTGGGGGCCCCTGGGGGCGGGGCGTAGGAAGGGGACGGGGGGATATGGGGTCCCTGGGGGTGGGGCAGGTTGTAGGGAGGATGGGGATGGGGAGGCTATGGGGTCCCTGTGGGTGGGGCATAGGGAGGGGGTGGGGGGCTGGGGGGCCCCTGAGGGCGGGCCTGGGAGGGGGCTGGGGGGTTGTGCGGGCCCCTAGGGGCGGGGCCTAGGGGAGGGGACGGGGGATATGAGGCCCCTGGGTGCGGGGCGTAGGGGGGGCCTGTGGGGCGGGGCGTAGGAAGGGGACGGGGGGATATGGGGTCCCTGGGGGTGGGGCAGGTTGTAGGGAGGATGGGGAGGCTATGGGGTCCCTGTGGGTGGGGGCGTAGGGAGGGGGTGGGGGGCTGTGGGGGCCCCTGAGGGCGGGCCTGGGAGGGGGCTGGGGGGTTGTGCGGGCCCCTAGGGGCGGGGCCTAGGGAGGGGGCGGGGGGAGATGAGGCCCCTGGGGGCGGGGCGTAGGGGGCCTGTGGGGGCCCCTGGGGGCAGGGCGTAGGGAAGGGGACGGGGGGATATGGGGTCCCTGGGGGTGGGGCAGGTTGTAGGGAGGATGGGGATGGGGAGGCTATGGGGTCCCTGTGGGTGGGGCATAGGGAGGGGGTGGGGGGCTGGGGGGGCCCCTGAGGGCGGGCCTGGGAGGGGGCTGGGGGGTTGTGCGGGCCCCTAGGGGCGGGGCCTAGGGAGGGGACGGGGGGATATGAGGCCCCTGGGTGCGGGGCGTAGGGGGGGCCTGGGGGCGGGGCGTAGGAAGGGGACGGGGGGATATGAGGCCCCTGGGTGCGGGGCGTAGGGGGGGGGCCTGGGGGCGGGGCGTAGGAAGGGGACGGGGGGGATATGGGGTCCCTGGGGGTGGGGCAGGTTGTAGGGAGGATGGGGAGGCTATGGGGTCCCTGTGGGTGGGGCATAGGGAGGGGGTGGGGGGCTGGGGGGGCCCCTGAGGGCGGGCCCCTAGGGGGCGGGGCCTAGGGAGGGGGGGGGGAGATGAGGCCCCTGGGGGCGGGGCGTAGGGGGGCCGTGTGGGGGCCCCTGGGGGCGGGGCGTAGGAAGGGGACGGGGGGATATGGGGTCCCTGGGGGTGGGGCAGGTTGTAGGGAGGATGGGGATGGGGAGGCTATGGGGTCCCTGTGGGTGGGGCATAGGGAGGGGGTGGGGGGCTGTGGGGGCCCCTGAGGGCGGGCCTGGGAGGGGGCTGGGGGTTGTGCGGGCCCCTAGGGGCGGGGCCTAGGGAGGGGGCGGGGGAGATGAGGCCCCTGGGGGCGGGGCGAGGGGGCCGTGGGGGCCCTGTGGGCGGGGCGTAGGAAGGGGACGGGGGATATGGGGTCCCTGGGGGTGGGGCAGGTTGTAGGGAGGATGGGGATGGGGAGGCTATGGGGTCCCTGTGGGTGGGGCATAGGGAGGGGGTGGGGGCTGGGGGGGCCCCTGAGGGCGGGCCTGGGAGGGGGCTGGGGGGTTGTGGGGCCCCTAGGGGCGGGGCCTAGGGAGGGGGCGGGGGGATGAGGCCCCTGGGGGCGGGGCGTAGGGGGCCGTGGGGGCCCTGGGGGCGGGGCGTAGGAAGGGGACGGGGGGATATGGGGTCCCTGGGGGGTGGGGCAGGTTGTAGGGAGGGGATGGGGATGGGGAGGCTATGGGGTCCCTGTGGGTGGGGCATAGGGAGGGGGGGGGGGTGGGGCCCCTGGGGGGGCGGGGGGGGGGGGCTGGGGGTGGGGGGCCCCTAGGGGCGGGGCCTAGGGAGGGGGCGGGGGAGATGAGGCCCCTGGGGGCGGGGCGAGGGGGGCCTGTGGGGGCCCCTGGGGGCGGGCGTAGGAAGGGGACGGGGGGATATGGGGTCCCTGGGGGTGGGGCAGGTTGTAGGGAGGATGGGGATGGGGAGGCTATGGGGTCCCTGTGGGTGGGGCATAGGGAGGGGGTGGGGGGCTGTGGGGGCCCCTGAGGGCGGGCCTGGGAGGGGGCTGGGGGGTTGTGCGGGCCCCTAGGGGCGGGGCCTAGGGAGGGGGCGGGGGGAGATGAGGCCCCTGGGGGCGGGGCGTAGGGGGGCCTGTGGGGGCCCCTGGGGGCGGGGCGTAGGAAGGGGACGGGGGGATATGGGGTCCCTGGGGGTGGGGCAGGTTGTAGGGAGGATGGGGATGGGGAGGCTATGGGGTCCCTGTGGGTGGGGCGTAGGGAGGGGGCGGGGGGCTGTGGGGGCCCCTGGGGGCGGGGCCTGGGAGGGGGCGGGGTGGGCAGCCCGCGCAGTTCGGTCTCTGCGGGACGCGGCCCCTTTAAGGTCCCGCCGGCCCCGGGGGCTCGAGGCGCCCCGCACAAAGATGGCGCCGGCGCAGCGGCGTGCGTCGGGCGTCACGTGATCCCGGATCTTCCTCGGCGGTCGGCGCCGCCTCGTGCTGACGTGTGCGGGCTGCTGTGCGCAGGCGCGGCGAGGAAGGCCGGGCGTGCGCGCGCGTGCGCAGTGGACGTCGGGCGGCCCGGGACCCCCAGCCCCAGCGCAGCCGCCATGGGGCCCCGCCGGCCGCCCGAGCTCTACCGGGCCCCGTTCCCGCTCTACGCGCTGCAGATCCACCCGCGCGGGCTGGCCCTGGCGGCGGGCGGCGGCGGCGCGGCCCGGACCGGCGTCAGGAACGGCCTGGTGGGGGCGGGGCTGGGGGTCGGGAGTGGGGGGCACCGGCGGGGCTGCGGGGGGCGGGGTGGGGGGCAGGAGTGGGGGGGCACCGGCGGGGGCAGGCGGGGCTGGGGGGGAGGGGCTGGGGGTCGGGAGTGGGGGGCACCGGCGGGGCTGCGGGGGGCGGGAGTGGGGGGCACGGGGGGGGGGGGGCTGGGGGTCGGGAGTGGGGGGCACCGGCGGGGCTGCGGGGGCGGGGTGGGGGGGGGTGGGGGGCAGGGGGGCTGGGGGGGGTCGGGAGTGGGGGGCACCGGCGGGGCTGCGGGGGCGGGAGTGGGGGGGCACCGGCGGGGCTGCGGGGGGCGGGGCTGGGGGTCGGGAGTGGGGGGCACCGGCGGGGGCGGGGTGGGGGGCGGGGTGGGGGTCAGGAGTGGGGGGCACCGGCGGGGCTGCGGGCGGCGGGGTGGGGGGCACCGGCGGGGCTGCGGGGGGGAGGGGCTGGGGGTTGGGAGTGGGGGGCACCGGCGCTGCGGGGGGGCGGGGAGGGGGGGCAGGGGCTGGGGGTCGGGAGTGGGGGGGGCAGCTGGGGGCGGGGCTGCGGCTGCGCTGGGGGTCGGGAGTGGGGGGCACTGGCGGGGCTGTGGGGTCGGGGCAGGGGGTCGGGAGTGGGGGGCACCGGCAGGGCTGCGGGGGGCGGGGCAGGAGGGCAGGGGCTGGGGGTCGGGAGTGAGGGGCACTGCAGAGCTGTGTGGATCATGCTCTTTCAGCACCTTCTGGGCTGTTGCTGGTTTTGTGCCAGGGCTCCGGGGCCCGGCTCCTGCGGCTTGGGGGGCAGGCAGCGGGCCTGTGTGGAGCCTGTCCCCCCCCCCATGCAGCTGCCTTGGTGGGAGCCTGTGCCGGGTGCTGCTGGGGTGCGACAGCTCGGCTGGAGAGCGCCACTTCTGGGGCTGCCTGAAGCCTGCTTGGGATCTGCGCGGTGGGCCCAGCCCTGGGTGTCCTCCAGGCTCCCCTGCCCCATATCCCTCCCGTCTGGGGCTGTAACTGATCGCCCTGTGCCCTGGTGTCTCCCTCTGCTCCCTGCAGCATTTCCTCCAGCTGGAGCAGATTGGGGGTCAGCTCAGCGCCTCGCTGCTGCACTCCCATGACACGGAGACCCGGGCCACCATGAGCATGGCGCTGGCTGGCGACGTCATCGCGGCAGGGCAGGATGCCAGCTGCCACATCCTCCGCTTCCGCCTGCAGAGGCCCGACGAGAAAAGCGGTGGCAGTCCCCCCGGCAAGGCTGGTGAGATGCACAGCCCCCGCTGCCAGCACGGGAAGGGGCGGCCTGGGCAGGTGTTTGCAGCTCCTAGCCAGGGCTGGCTTCCCAGCTGTACCAAAGTAACAGCTACTCTGTCCCGGCCTCGCCCAGCAGGGGGCGCTGTGGGGAGCGGGGCAGGAGCAGGCGGTGTGAGAGCGCCTGGCTACTCTGTCCCGGCCTCGCCCAGCAGGGGGCGCTGTGGGGAGCGGGATGGGAGCAGGCAGTGTGGGAGAGCCTGGCTACTCTGTCCCGGCCTCGCCCAGCAGGGGGCGCTGTAGGGAGCGGGATGGGAGCAGGCAGTGTGGGAGAGCCTGGCTACTCTGTCCCGGCCTCGCCCAGCAGGGGGTGCTGTGGGGAGCGGGGCAGGAGCAGGCAGTGTGGGAGCGCCTGGCTACTCTGTCCCGGCCTCGCCCAGCAGGGGGCGCTGTGGGGAGCGGGGCAGGAGCAGGCAGTGTGGGAGCGCCTGGCTACTCTGTCCCAGCCTCGCCCAGCAGGGGGCGCTGTGGGGAGCGGGGCAGGAGCAGGCAGTGTGGGAGCGCCTGGCTACTCTGTCCGGGCCTCGCCCAGCAGGGGGCGCTGTAGGGAGCGGGATGGGAGCAGGCAGTGTGGGAGAGCCTGGCTACTCTGTCCCGGCCTCGCCCAGCAGGGGGCGCTGTAGGGAGCGGGACGGGAGCAGGCAGTGTGGGAGAGCCTGGCTACTCTGTCCCGGCCTCGCCCAGCAGGGGGCGCTGATGGGAGAGGAGTTGGGGGTGGGCGGCCTCGCCGCAGGGGGCGCGGGGCAGGAGCAGGCAGTGTGGGAGCGCCTGGCTACTCTGTCCCAGCCTCGCCCAGCAGGGGGCGCTGTGGGGAGCGGGGCAGGAGCAGGCAGTGTGGGAGCGCCTGGCTACTCTGTCCCGGCCTCGCCCAGCGGGGGGCGCTGTGGGGAGAGGCTGGTGGGCAGGGGTTTGAGGCGCCCAGCTGGTGCAGGCAGTCATTGCTCTGTCTGTCCCAGGCGGTGCGGAGAAGGGCCCCCGGAAGCGAAAGGCCTCCAACCGCTCTGAGAAGGGTGAGGGCGACACGAGGAGCGAGACGGGCGAGGTGGCTGTGGAGACGCTGTGCAACGTGCAGACCGACTTCAGCCCCGAGGCGCTGCAGAAGGCCGTGCGTGTCAGCGCGGACCATTCGCTGCTGGCCACGGGCGGCGCCGACGGCTTCCTCCGAGTCTGGGAGGTAGGAGCTGGCCTGGCACAGCCTGGGCCGCTCAGCTGGCCCGGGCAGGAGTGGAGCCCGCTGCCCTGTGGGAAGTGATGTCAGGTGGGGGTCCCTGGCTGGCTTTGTGCAGCCGCAGATCCTTCAGGTCTCCCACTGGGTGGGCGGGGGCCGATCAGTGCTTAGATGGGCCTGTAATGCTTCCTGTTGCTGCCTATTAATTGCATTGGGTGACCCCAGGCTCTTACGTTGTGAGAAGGGGTAAATCACACTTCCTTATTTACGTTCTCCACACCAGTCATGATTTTATAGACCTCTGTCATATCCCCCCTTAGTCGCCTCTTTTCCAAGCTGAAAAGTCCCTGTTTTATTAATCTCTCCTCATACAGCAGCCGTTCCAGACCCCTAACCATTTTTGTTGCCCTTTTCTGAACCTTTTCCAATAACAATGTATCTTTTTTTAAGATGGGGTGACCACATCTGCACACAGTATTCCAGATGTGGGTGTACCAGGGATTTATATAAAGGCAATATGATATTTTTTTCCTCATTATCTATCCTTAATGATTCCCAACGTTCTGTTCGCTTTTTTGACTGCCACTGCACATTGAGTGGATGATTTCAGAGAACTATTCACGATGACCCCAAGATCTTTCTTGAGTGGTAACAGCTAATTTAGACCCCATCATTTTACATGTGTATTTGGGATTATGTTTCCCACTGTGCATTACTTTGCATTGATCAACATTGAATTTCATCTGCCATTTTGTTGGCCGGTCACCCAGTTTTGTGAGTCCCTTTGTAGCTCTTCACAGTCTGCATGGGATTTAACTATCTTGAGTAGTTTTGTATCATCTGCAAATTTTGCTACCTCACTGTTTACCCCTTTTTCCAGCTCATTTATGAACACGGTGAATAGTACTGGTCCCAATACAGATTGCTGGGGGACACCACTATTTACCTTTCTCCAGTCTGAAAACTGACCATTTATTCCTACCCTTTGTTTCCTATCTTTTAACCAGTTACCAGTCCATGAGAGGACCTTCCCTCTTATCCCATGACTGCTTACTTTGCTTAAGGGCCTTTGGTGAGGGACCTTGTCAAAGGCTTTCTGGAAAACTAAGTACACTATATCCACTGGATCCCCCTTGGCCACATGCTTGTTGACCCCCTCCAAGAATTCTAGTAGATTAGTGAGGCGTGATTTCCCTTTACAAAAGTCATGCTGACTCTTCTCCAGCATATTGTATTCATCTGTGTGTCGAATAATTCTTTTCTTTACTACAGTTTCAACCAGTTTGCCTGGTACTGTAGTCAGGGTCACCGGCGTGTAACTGCCAGATTCGCCTCTGGAGCCTTTTTAAAATATCATTGTCACATTAGCTCCCCTCTGGTCGTCTGGTGCAGAGGCTGATTAAAGTAATAGCAGCTCTGCAGTTTCACATTTGAGTTCTTTCAGAACTCTTCGGGCCTGCCACCTGGTCCGGGGACATACTGCTGAGTAACTTATCGATTTGTGCCAGACCCTCCTCTAATGACCCCTCAGTCTGGGACAGTTCCTCAGATTTTTCACCTAAAAAGAATGGCTCAGGTGTGGGAATCTCCCTGTGCAGTGAAGGCCAACACAAAGAATTCATTGAGCTTATGTGCAACGGCCTTGTCTTTCTTGAGTGCAGCCTTAGCACCTCCAGTGTCCAGTGGCCCCACTGACTGTTTGGCAGGGTTCCTGCTTCTGATGTACTTAGAAAAAACCTTGCTGATAGTTTTTGTCTTTTGCTAGTTGCTCTTCAAATTTTTTTTTTTGGCCTGCTCTCAGTTCCCCAGCGGGTGAGGGGCTGGGGGGGTGCTAAGCCCGGCTCTCTCTCAGTTCCCCAGTAGGTAGGGGGCTTGGGAGGGCACTGAGGGGTCGCTGAGCCCGGCTCTCTCTCAGTTCCCTAGGGGGTGGGGGGCTGGGGGGGCGCTGGGGTGGTGCTGAGGCTGGCTCGCTCTCAGTTCCCCAGTAGGTAGGGGGCTTGGGGGGCACTGAGGGGTCGCTGAGCCTGGCTCTGTCTCAGTTCCCCAGGGGCTGGGGGGCTGCTGGGGTGGTGCTGAGCCTGGCTCTCTCTTAGTTCCCCAGCATGAAGAAGGTGTGGGAGTTCAAAGCACATGACGGGGAGATTGAGGACATTGCGCTGGGTCCCGACAACAAGGTGAGCAGCCGAGCTGACCCTGGAGCCCTGGGTGAGCCCCTCCTGCCCCTCGGTGCACTCGTGGCCTGCCCCTCACACGCCAGGGTCCCATGGGCAGGGAAGGGGGACTTAAACCCTGCCCTGGGCCCTTTCCCCATGGGGGCTCAGGATGCTGGTGCTGGCCCGGGGAGATGGCACATGGGGAGCGGCCGTGGTGCCTTAGACAGGAGAGGGGGAGTCGCAGCCTGGTGCAGGCCAGACAGACTGGGGAAACTGAGGCTGTGGGGGGAGGGGATAGCTCAGTGGGGGGGAGGGGATAGCTCAGTGGTTTGAGCATTGGCCTGCTAAACCCAGGGTTGTGAGTTCAATCCTTGAGGGGGCCATTTAGGGATCTGGGGCAAAAAAAAAAAAAAAAATTGGGGATTGTGCCTGCTTTGAGCAGGGGGGTTGGACTAGATGATCTCCTGAGGTCCCTTCCAACCCTGATATTCTATGATTCTATGATTCCATGGCTCCTGACTCTGGCTGGGGCCCCCCTGCCTGGCTCTCACAGCGGTGTCCCGGCAGGTGGTGACGGCGGGCCGGGATTTCCAGTGCTGTGTGTGGCAGAGGGACCAGCTGGTGCTGCGGCTGCGCTGGGACGAGAACATGCCGGGTGTCCCTGACAAGACCTACCGCTACCAGGCCTGCAGGTAGGGCCCTGCCCAGGCCCAGAGCGAGGCCTGGCCACATTCACTTATCCCTGGGGACAGGCCGCTGAGCTGGGCCCCTGGGCCTGGGTGCTTGGCTGGTCTCACGGGTGTGGTTCAGGGCACGGGCTGGGCCCCTGGGGCTGGCCTGACGGGGCTCCTGGTGGGGGTGAGGGTTGGGCTCAGTGGTGCTGGGGGGGGCGGGCGGGGAAGAAGGACCCTAGGCTGGTCTGATGGGCTCTCGGTGGGGATGGGGGCTGGGTGCAGGGGGGGCCCGGGGCTGGGCTGGGTGGTGGGGTCTGGATTGCTGGGGAGGCCCTGGGCTTGGCTGACGGGCCCCCAGTGGGGGCGGGGGCTGGGCACAGGGGTGCTGGGGGGCCCTGGGCTGGGCTGACGGGCCCCCAGTGGGGGCGGGGGCTGGGCACAGGGGTGCCCTGGGCTGGGCTGACGGGCCCCCAGTGGGGGCGGGGGCTGGGCACAGGGGTGCTGGGGGGCCCTGGGCTGGGCTGACGGGCCCCCAGTGGGGGCGGGGGCTGGGCACAGGGGTGCCCTGGGCTGGGCTGACGGGCCCCCAGTGGGGGCGGGGGCTGGGCACAGGGGTGCTGGGGGGCCCTGGGCTGGGCTGACGGGCTCCCGGCGGCAGGTTTGGGGCGGTGCAGGACCAGGCAGAGGAGCTGCGACTCTACACGGTGCAGGTGCCCCACAAGCGTGAGCGCCGCCCCCCACCCTGCTACCTCACCAAGTGGGACGGCAAAAGCTTCCTGCCGCTGCTCACCCAGCCCTGCGGGGGCGAGGTCATCTCCTGCCTCTCCATCAGGTACGGGGGGGGGGGTTGGGGCGGGGGCGTTGGCCCGGTTCTCGGGCAGGCTGGGCTGGGGGGGCACTGTGCTGTCCATCTGTCTGACCAGCTCTTTGGTGCCATCTGTCCCACCAGTGACTCGGGCACGTTTCTGGGGCTGGGCACCGTGACAGGCTCGGTTGCCATTCACGTCTCCTTCTCGCTGCAGGTAACTGGCTGCCCGGGCACCTGGAGGGGGCGGGGCTCCCTGGGGGCTGTGCTGCGGGAGGCGCTGTCTGGTGGGGGTTGGGGGGGGGACTCCCCAAGGCCCCAGTGGGGGTTGGGCGTTGGCCTGGCTCTGGCCGCCTCCTGAGCTCCTGCCTCGGGCTGGGCAAGGCTGAAGCAGCTGCTGCCCCACCCCAGAGACAGCTGCATCCTGGGCAGGGCGCACGGACACGGCTCGGCGTGTGACCCTGCCCTCCCCGCAGAGGCTGTACTATGTGAAGGAGGCGCATGGCATCGTGGTGACGGCCGTGGCCTTCCTGCCCGAGAGCCGGCGGGGCCGGGAGCTGTTGGTGGAGAACGAGGCCGCCCTGCTCAGCGTCGCTGTGGACAGCCGCTGCAAGCTGCACCTGCTGCCCCCCAGGCGTATGTGCCCCGGGCCCGTGGGGGGAGGGGTCCTGTGGGGGTCGTGCGCCCCGCCCCGGCCCAGGCTTGTTCCCTGCTCTGGCTAGATCCTAGCGGAGCCCCCTGACATCGCGACCCCCGCTTGATCTGGGGCCCTACTGTGGGTTGATGCCCCCTTCCCTGCCCAGGCTCAGGGGGTCCCTCTTCCTTGGCCCCTCCCTCCCTTTTTGGCTCTTCCCCCCCGGTGGCTGGTTCCCCCCTGAGCTGTGTCCTTCTCTCCCACAGGCAGCTTCCCCATGTGGCTGCTGCTGCTGCTCTGTGCTGGCCTGGTGGTGGCCACCATCCTGCTGCTGCAGCTGGCCTTCCCCGGCTTCCTGTAGCTGTGAGGAGCCCCGCGGGCGGGGGCTGGGCTCTGGCCTGGCCCTGGGGACAGCGAGAGATTCCCCTGCCTGGGGCACGGCGGGACATCGCCCCAGGGCTGCGGGGTCCTCGCCTGCCTGGTCCTGCCCGGCTCCCCCCCAGGACAATGTGAAGCAGCTCAGAGACCTGCAGCCCCTTGGCCCCACGCCGGGTGCTCCTGCTCAGAGCCTGGCCCTGCCCGGCCCGGCCCTGCCCACCCCTGCTGGAGCCAGGGGGCACAGGCCACTGGTGAGCTGCCCGTGGCGGGACGTGTGCTCCCGGCGTCTCCCTGGGCTGAGCTCTTGGTGACGGTGAGATGTTCTGGCTGGGCCCGGCTGGCTCAGTTGTGGCACGGGGCTGAGAGCTGGCTCTGGGGGGGTGGGCAGAGCCCAGCTTGTGCCAGTTGGCCCCATGACGCCCATCCAGCTGTGTGCCAGCAGGGCCAACCCGCGCTCCTGCAGCTTGTTGGCTGCCATTAAAACTGGAGTCTGACCTGTCGCTCCCCTGCCTGTCTGTGCCGGAGGTGGGGGGGCTGCAGAGCCCATGGAGGAATTGCAGGGGTGCGATGGGCCAGTCACTGCGGGGGGGGCCCCTGGCACTGGCCCAACCCCCCAGGCAGTTGGCTCCATTGGCCCCGGGCAGGGCTCCTACAGGCTTGGCCTGCTACAAGCTCTGAGCCAGAGCCTCGCTGTGGGGAGCCCTCCCTGCTTCAGCTGCCCCCTGGGCTGTATGGCCATTGTCCTGCCCCTCCCCCAGGGGACTGACAGGTGGGGGTGTCTCTCTCGGGGGGAGGGATCCCCCCCAGGCAAGAGCCTGGACAGTGTTAGGCTCTGGAAACTGGTCTCCATAGAGCTCTTCCCCCTCCTCCCCGGCAGGGGCTCCAGCGGGGTATTTTCCCTCTAGGGCCCGGGTCCCAGCCCTGCCCCTCGGTTCCCGGCCCCTGGGTGGAAGCCTGGCACCCCCACGCAGTTGGTGTCACTGCGACAGAGCCCTGGCAGGGGCTCCAGCGGGGTATTTTCCCTCTAGGGCTCGGTTCCCGGCCCTGCCCCTCGGTTCCCGGCCCCTGGGTGGAAGCCTGGCACCCCCACGCAGTTGGTGTCACTGCGACAGAGCCCTGGCTGGCCCTGTGGCTTTGGGGGACGTGCAGCTGGCTCCATCCCCTCCCTGCAGCTCATGGAGGACATGAGGTAGCCAGGCAGGAGGTTTATTGGGGGGCTGCAGCCTGCTCTGGGGCCCGCCTGCCTCAGTGCTGGGGCGTCACGCAGCTGGCCCCGTCCCCTGCCCTCAGGCTGCGGCTCAGCTCCTGGCTGTGCTCGAAGGCGGCCGTGACGAACTGGGCGAAGACGCGGTGAATGTAGCTCCCGTGCCGTGGGAAGAGCCCCTCCAGGAAGCCGACGTGCCCGCCGTGCACCGTCACCAGCACCGCCACCGTGGGGAGGCGCCGCACCGCGGCCAGGGGCATGGCTGAAAGAGAGCGAGGAGTCAGGCAGCCGCCAGCCTCCCGCCCTGGGCCCGGAGCCCCCCGGCCGCCCCCTGCACTCACCCTGCAGCGGCGAGAAGGGGTCGTCGGCCGCGTTGAGGCAGAGCACGGGCAGGCGCACGGCATGCACGAAGTGCGAGGGGCTGGCGGCCCGGTAGTACTCGGCACACGTCCCGTAGCCGAACACCACGGCCGTGTAGCGCTCGTCAAACTCCCGGATGCTGCGTGCCTGGGGCAGAGAGCAGGGGTCAGGGCCGGAGCCGCTGTGGGGCGTGGCTGGCCGGGCAGGGGCAGGGGGCCCATACCTTCAGTACGTGATCCACATCCACCTTCTCTGCAATCACCTTCCTGTGCCTGCAACGTGCCCCAGAGTCAGCGTGGGGGGGCTGCCCCAACAAGACAGCCAAGAGCCCCCCGACCCCCAGTTATCAGCCCCAGAGTCCCCCGAACCTTCATGTACCAGTCCCCCTGGCCCCCCAGCCCAGCCCCACTGACCCCCACGAACCAACCCCGACCCGTCCATACCTGACCCCCCTGAACCAGCCCCACTGACCCCCACGAACCGACCCCGACCCGTCCATACCTGACCCCCCCTAAACCAGCCCCACTGACCCCCACGAACCAACCCTGCCCCGCCCATACCTGACCCCCCTGAACCAGCCCCCCCAGCCCCACTGACCCCCACGAACTGACCCTGCCCTATCCATACCTGACCCCCCTGAACCAGCCCCACTGACCCCCACGAACCGACCCCGACCCGTCCATACCTGACCCCCCTGAACCAACCCTGCCCCGCCCATACCTGACCCCCCTGAACCAGCCCCCCAGCCCAACTGACCCCCACGAACTGACCCTGCCCTATCCATACCTGACCCCCCTGAACCAGCCCCACTGACCCCCACGAACCGACCCCGACCCGTCCATACCTGACCCCCCTGAACCAGCCCCACTGACCCCCATGAACCAACCCTGCCCCGCCCATACCTGACCCCCCTGAACCAGCCCCCCCAGCCCCACTGACCCCCCCGAACCAGCCCCGCCCCACCCCCCCGAACCAGCCCCGCCCCACCGGTTGACGAGGCGGAGCAGGTTGGCCGTGAGGTGCCGGTTGAAGAGCAGGCCGTTGAGCGGCTCCTCCAGCGAGCGGCTGGACTCCACGGTGTCCCAGGGGACGGACAAGGTCAGGGCCGCCACCAGCCCCGTGTCGTGTCCCCGCTGCGCCAGGTACTTCAGCACCAGGATCCTGGAGAGACAGCACCACGGGTGGGCTGGGGCCAGGGATCTGCTCCCCCTGGGGAGCGTCCCCCCAATTAACCCTTCCCCTGCCTGTGCTTTGCCAGCCCCCTCTTCTTGCTGCTCCCCAGCTGTGGGGGGGGGGCAGACATTAACCACCCCAGGCCACCCCGTACCTGGGAGATTCACCCCTCACCTCCCTGTGCCAGGCCCCCTGCTCACCCGCCTAGCGAGACACCCACAGCCAGGAGTGGTGCCCGCGGGTGCTGGGCCTTGATGTGGGTGACCACGGTCTGCAGGTCCTCCGTGTTGCTAGCGCAGAAGGCTCTGGGGGTCTAAGAGCAAGAGCAGAGCTGAGGGTGGCAGGGGGGTCTCCGGGGAGGCAGTGCTGGGGCTGGCTGGGTGGGGGGGGGTGTCCCCAGGGAGGCAGTGCTGGGGCAGGCTGGGGTGTGTGTGTGTCCCCCCAGGGGGGCAGTGCTGGGGGAGGGGGGCTGTCCCCACCTGACCGCAGTTAACAGAGGGCCATGGAGTGGATCGGGATGTTCCTGCTGGATCCCCCACGCTTGCACGCAAGGGAGGGGGGTCCTGGCCCCCCCAGGGGGCATGGGGAGGGTTCAGCCCTGAGAGCCACTGGCAGGATGGGGTGGAGCAAACTGCAGCCAGGGATGGGCCAGCACCTCCTGCCCCGGGGAGCGGCTCATAACAGCCAGACTGGGCCAGCTAGCCCAGGACCCCAGATCTGGGAGCAGCTAGTGCCAGGTGCCCCAGAGGGAATGAAGAGACCAGGGAATCACCCAGTGATCCAGCCCCTGTCGCCCATTCTCAGCTCCTGGCAAACAGCAGCATCAGCCCTGCCCAGCCTGGCTAATAGCCACTGATGGACCTGTCCTCCATGAACATATCTAGCTGTTTTTGAACCCTGTTCTAGTCTTGGACTTCACAACATCCCCTGGCAAGGAGTTCCACAGGTTGACTGTGCGTTGTGTGAAGAAATACTTCCTTCTGTTTGTTTTAAACCTGCTGCCTAGTAATGTCATTGGGTGACCGCTAGTTCTGGTGTTATGAGCAAGAGTAAATAACACTTCCTGGTTCACTCTCTCCACAGCCGTCGTGATTTTATAGACTTCTATCCTATCCCCCCTTAGTCACCTCTTTTCCAAGCTGAGAATCCCAGTTCTATTAATCTCTCCTGATACAGAAGCAGTTCTATTCCCTAATCCTTCGCTGCATCTTTTCCAACTGTAAAGGATCTTTCCTGAGCTGGGGCGATCACAGCTGCATCCAGTGTTCCGGGCTGGGCGTCCCGGGGATTTATACAGAGGCAATGTGATAGTTACCCCGCGCTCTGGTAGCTGGTCCGGCTGCTGCTGCCCGTTGAGCGGCTGTTCTCAGAGAACCACCCCAGGGAGGCCGAGATCTATCTTGAGGGCTCACAGCTAGTTTGGACCCATTGTTTTGCCTGTATAGATGGGACAGCAGCTCCGACCTACTGGGACCCAGGGGCCTGGGCCTAGCCCTGCCCTCCCCTCCAGGGCCCACGGAGTGTGCGGCCCCCCACTCCCAGGGCCTCCAGAGCCCTGGGCCAGGATCTCTGTGGTGGAGCTGGGACCCAAGGCCCCCCCGGGGGACAGAGCTCACTCACCAGCAGATCCTCCCCCTTGCACCCTCTGTTATTGAACACGACAGTCCTGGGGGGAGGGGAGAGGAGACAGGTGAAGCTCCCTGCCCCCTTCCCCCACGACCCGTCCATCCCCACTCCCCCAGCCCCCTTCCCCCACGACCCCCCCATCTCCCCCCACAACCCCCTTCCCCCACGACCCCATCTCTCCCCACCAATCCCCCTCCCCAATGCCCCTCAGGCTGGCACTGCCCCAGATGCCCATCACTACCTGACCCTCTGGGGGTGACCATGAGGCTGGGTCCCTGCAGTCCCCCCCCAGTCACCAGGGGCCCAGCTCCCCCGCAGCGTGTCTCACCTGTACCCCGCGTGGGAGGCCTGCTGCACCAGGTGCAGGATGTAGGTGGCCTGGCTGTTGCTGGTGAGGCCTGGCAGCAGCAGGATGGTGGGGCGTGTGCCAGGCTCCGGGTACCGCTGGCTCTCTGCATTGTCCGCCCAGTCCAGCAGCAGCTGCCCTCCATCCGCTGTGTGGAGCAACTCACTGGGCAGGGAGCACAGGGTGGAGTGAGCCCCGAGCAGCAGGGGCCTGGGCAGCACCCCAGGGCACAGCCTGGGAGTCACTGAGCAGCGTCCCCAGCGCTCGCCCAGCCCAGCCCGAGAGCCCAGCACGCACCTGCGGTAAGAGACCAGGGGCCGGGACTGGAGGAAGAAGCGGAGCAGAGTCTGGAGCCGGCCCTCGTAGCACCAGGGCGTGGGGTAGAAGGGCTCGCTGACAATGGGGCAGTGTGTCTCCAGGAAGGCACGGAACGGCAGCCCGCCCACCAGCAGGGGCCTCTGGGAAGAGATTCGGGGAGAGCTGGGGCCAGCCCAAGCCAAAAGACGGGCCCTGGCTCCCAGGCCCCACCTCCCCACCAGCTGCAGCGTGCCTGGGCTTGTCAGAGCCTGTCACGCTCACAGGCCCTGGCACAAGCCACGGACACGGGCCCTGAGATCCCACGACATGGGGCTGAGCCCTCAGGGACAGAGCCCCGCCCCAACAGCGCAGGCCCCCCCACAGCGCAGACCCCTCCCCCAGCACACGTGCCTGGAGCCCCTGCTTGCCCATCCAGGCCCCAGGTGCAGGAGTCAGGCAGCGGCCAGAGATGGGGGGTGGGAGGGTGTATCACCATCATCCCTGAGCAACCTGAGTCCAGGCCATGGCCCTGTCCCACTGCCAGCTGAGGCGGGATGGGCGGCGCCGTTCTAGGCCAGAGGTGAGATGGGGCCACGTGAGGAGGGCGGAGAGGAATCAGGAACAGAGAGATGCACTGAGTAGGGTCTGGGAGAGGGAGGGAGCAGCTGTCCCCTTGGGCGCCACCCCAAAGTCAGAGGCACCCCCCAATATCAGGGGTGATGCTCTTTGCTCACCCATTGCAACTGCTCTTTAACCAACCAAACTCTCATTACCAAAATTCAAATTTGGATAGTGTGGGGTTCTGACCCAAAGCTTAATTGACCTGGTTCTGTGGATCCTGCCGACTACGCCACTGTGACGGGGCTGCCCGTGGGAGCCAGCTGAGGTCACTCCATCAGGGTGAACTGCAAACAGAACAGGGCGGACAACCCCAAACGCTGGTGGATATTCCGCTCCTTAGATTAACCCAGCCAGCCCAAACCAGCTTCTATAGCCCCTCCCTGGGTACTCAGACGTCCAAACAACGCAGTGCCCTTAAAGTGCCCAGCCTCCGGCCTCCATCCAGACACACACGTCAAACATAGGATGCTAAATTCTGAAAGTCTTACTTCATCATAGAAAAGAAAAGATTCTCCTGACCCCAAAGGACCAACCAAGCGCCAGACCCAAGTCAAATGATAACTCAGATCTTACCCCAAATACACGCTTACAGTCAATCCTTAGTAACTGAACTAAAATGTATTAAAAAAAGAAGAGGGCGTGCGTGCTGGTTAAAAGATCGATATACAGACAGACTTGAGTTCAGTTCTTGAGGTTCAGATGCAGAGCAGAGCTGAGCTTACAGAGGCCAAAAGTCCTTTTAAAAATAGTCCAGAGGTTTTACAGATCTTCCTAACCAGTCTCTAAAGTTCATTAACTCTTTCTGGCCCTGTGTCACCTTTCAATGAGATATTATATTACACTCCTAACCTCACATGAGATGTAAACAATCAGAGCTGTGAAATGCAGAGAGAGAATGGGAGCTGTGTGCTCAGGTCTTGTGATGTCAGCAAACAAGTCTTGTCTATGGCTCTGGCTTTGATTCAAAGATCAAAAGAGGAATATTAACATTTAGGAAGACACTGGAGTGACATAGTATTATTGTCTATATGGCTCTTTGAAGGTTGTGGTAACCGGTATCTGAACTGTTAATGGGTAAATTACCCTGGGCTAATTGCCAGGATGTTTGGGAGAAGGAAAGTGAAGCCGATTGTTTTCTCAGGCCAAGAGGCTGCTGGAAATGTATAAATACCCTGGGACACGATCCTTCTTCATCTCAGATCTGCTTTGAATTTCAAGAAGGGGAAACCCTGAGCCGTAAGGATTAAGATCCCCAGTCACTGACGGGAGTCACCCTGAACATGGACATTGGACTGTAACCCGTGGACTATTTCTAAAAGGATTTTTGGCAAGGAGTGGACTATCCACCAGTGGTTGGGGTTTGTCCGCCCCCGTTCTGTTTGCAGTTCACCCTGACTGAGTGACCTTAGCTGGCTCCCACGGGCAGGGCAGCCCGTTACACTGTTCTGAGCCGAGGTGAGATGGGGCCACGTGAGGAGGGTGGAGAGGAACCAGGAACAGAGAGATGCACCGAGTGGGGCCTGGGAGGGGGAGGGAGTAGCTGTCCCCAAGGGCACACACCCCAAAGGCAGAGGCACCCCCCAGTATCTGGGGTGATGACACAGCCAGACAGGAGCCACTGCGGCTCCCCCCGGGGGAAGTGAGTCACTGCCCAGCTGTGCTGTGGGGCAGGGACACTTCATTCCACGCCCGGCCTCTCCGAGGAAGAACGAGTTCAGCGCAGCCATGCCCAGGGGCACGCGGCCGGGTACCTGGTGAGGTGTCTGGGTGGGGACGGGCACTGCCCGGGACAGGCTGCACCCAGCACCACTCCACAAATCGCTCCAGCCGCCTGCCTGAGGGGCCCCCCACTGGGGAACTCAGGGCCGAGACAGCGCGAAGAAGGGGGGGCTGCTCAGAGCCGCCCCGCCACTGGGCACGGCCACGGTGCCACCTGGACAGCTGATAATGGAAATAAGGGCTGGCAAAGTCTGCCCGGGGGGGGGCTCCCAGGGAGGGAGGAGTTATTTGGGCTGAGAGCTGGGGGGGGGAACCGTGAGGGGGGTGTCACAGCAAGGGGGGCTCCTCGGGCGGGCCCCCCAGCGCGACCGGACGGACCCCCCCAGCGCTGACCCGACGGACCGACCCCCCCCAGCGCTGCCGGACGGACCGACCCCCCCCAGCGCTGACCGGACGGACCGACCCCCCCCAGTGCTGACGGGACGGACGGACCTCCCCCCCCCAGCGCTGCCAGACGGACCGACCCCCCCCAGCACTGACCGGACGGACGGACCGACCCCCCCCAGCACTGACGGGACGGACGGACCGACCCCCCAGCCCCCGGCAGACCCCCACCAGTGCTGACCGGACGGACGGACCGACCCCCCCAGGTGACGGGCCCCCCAGCGACTGACCGGACGGACGACCGACCCCCCCCAGTGCTGACGGGACGGACGGACCGACCCCCCCCAGTACTGACGGGACGGACGGACCGACCCCCCGCAGCACTGACCGGACGGACGGACCGCCCCCCAGCGCTGCCGGACGGACCGACCCCCCGCAGCACTGACCGGACGGACCGACCCCCCGCAGCGCTGACCGGACGGACCGACCCCCCGCAGCGCTGACCGGACGGACGGACGGACCGACCCCCCGCAGCGCTGACCGGACGGACGGACGGACCGACCCCCCGCAGCGCTGACCGGACGGACGGACCTGCGGGACGCGCACCCAGTAGTAGCAGAGGAAGGCGGCGCTGGCCGCCAGCAGCACCCGCAGCGGCTCCCCCCAGCCCCGGAGCAGCAGGTCGGGCAGGGACCCCAGCGCCCCGCACATCCTGCGGCCGCCGGAATCTGGCTCCTCCCGGCTCCCGGCCGCCCTGCGCTGGCCCCGCCCCGACCGGCAGCCATGTTTGTGAGGGGCAGGGGCAGCCAGGCCGGCATCCATGTTTGTGAGGGGCAGGCCCCGCCCCGGCCGGCAGCCATGTTTGTGAGGGGCAGGGGCAGCCAGGACGGCATCCATGTTTGTGAGGGGCAGGCCCCGCCCCGGCCGGCAGCCATGTTTGTGAGGGGCAGGCGAGGCCAGGCCAGGCCGGCCGTGGTTAACCCCGTAGGGGCCGGGCGGCCGCGGAGCGAGGGTAGCGCGGCAGCAGAGCTGCTGCGCAGCCGGGAGCGCGGGACCCAGGAGTCCTGGGCGCAGCCCCTCCCCCAGGCACCCCCCGCGCCCAGGGCCCAGGCAGCGCCGAGCCGCGGGCAGAGGGGTCTTGGGGGGGCGGGAGCACGTGGGGGTCGCTGCCCCACGGCCAGGCAGCGCCGAGCCGCGGGCGCCCTGGACGGCGTGTTCCCCGCGCCGTGCTCACCGCCGGGGCCGTGCCGCGCCGGGGCAGCGCGGGCCCGGGGCCGGGAGAGTCGCTCGGCGCGGGAGCACCCCGGGGCCGGGAGAGTCGCTCGGCGCGGGAGCACCCCGGGGCCGGCACGCTGTTCCGCTGCCAGCTCCGCTCCGGGGACAGTGCGCGGCCCTGCCAGGCTGGGGCCGGGCCAGCCCGGCACTCCCCCGGGCGCCGAGCAGCCCACCCAGGGCCCGGGCCGCACGGGGCTGGGCCCCGGAGAAGGAGCGGCCAGGCTAGCTCAGCCCGGGGACCCAGCGCTCCCGTCCTGGGCTGCGCCCCCCAGGAGATGGCACAAGAACCCCCCGTCCCCGGCTCAGCAGGGGACACGGCCCCCTCAGCCGGCCAGCTCCTGGCTGGCGCGTGCCCCGGCTCTGCTCGTACAGCGCCGGGCGCTCTCACGGGCCGTGTGAATGGCTCACCCTTTCCGAGTCCCCCTGGCCCCTGGCCTCGTCGCCGTCTCGTGGCCATGCGTTCCGCAGCCGGATGGTCAGTTTGGTAAGAAAATATTCCCTCGGGCTGCTTGTAGATGGATCACATCCATTCCCATCACTTGCCCCTGAGGCAGAAAGCGATTAGGATTTGGAGCGCCCCGTTCCCCTCCCCATGCCAACCCCCGCCCCACCCCTGCACAGCCTGAGAGCCCACTGCTCCTGTGGGTGCCCTCTCCTCCAGGGAAAGCACACCACTCTCCCACTCCTTCCCTGAGCATCTCCCAGGTGCTCCGGGTGCAGGCAGGACCTGGGCAGAGCATCGGTGGCAGGCAGCCAGGCGGGTGGCGCAGGGTGGGGAGATGGGTCTGGTGGGTGGCACCAGGTAGGGGGATGAGCCAGGCGGGTGGCACAGGGGGTTCTGGGTGGCATGGGATGGGGGATGGGGCTGGTGGGTGGCATGGGGGCTGGTGGGTGGCACGGGACAGGGGGAACTGGGTGGTGGGTGACACGGGGCAGGTGCCACGGGGTGGGGAGATGGATCTGGTAGGTGGCACAGGGGTGGCACAGGATGGGGGTGACATGGGACGGGGGAATGGGCCAGGTGGGTGGCACAGGATGGGTCCGGCAGGTGGCATGGGGGTGGCATGGGACCGAGGGATGGGCCGGGCGGGGGGAGCTGGGTGGCACGAAGGATGGGTCAGAGCGGTGGCACGGGATGGGAAAATGGGTCTGGCAGGTGGCATTGGGTGTGGGGGTCGCACGTGACTGGGAGATGGGCCAGGCGGGTAGCACGGGGGGCGGTGGTGGCACGGGGGGGTGGGCCAGGTGAGTTGCACGGGATGGGGGGATGGGGCAGGTGGGTGCCACAGGGAGGGGGGTGGCATGGGGGGGATGGGCCTGGCGGGTGGCATGGCGGGCATGGGGGATCGGCCAGGTAGGTGGTGCAGGGGGCGGCATGGGGGGATGGTTCTGGCGGGGGGCACTTGGGGCGGGGAGTGGCATGGGATGGGGGGATGGGCCAGACGGGTGGCACAGGGGGAAGGGGTTGCATGGGGGGATGGGCCAGGCGGTTGGCACGGGGGGGATGGGCCAGGCAGGTGGCATGGGGAGCGGGGGGTGGCATGGGGGGATGGGCCAGGCGGGGGGCGGCATGGGGGGATGGGCCAGGTGGGTGGCACGGGGGTGGGAGGTGGCACGGGACTGTGGGATGGGCCAGGCGGGTGGCACGGGGGGTGGCACGGGGGGGATGGGCCAGGTGGGTGGCACTGGGGGGATGGCAAGGGACGGGGGGATGGGCAAGGCAGGTGGCGCAGGGGGTGGAGGGTGGCAAGGGGGGATGGGCCAGGCGGGTGGCACGGAGGGCAGGGGGTGGCACGGGGGGTGGCACGGGACAGGGGGATGGGCCAGACGGGTGGCAGAGGGGGCGGGGGGTGGCATGGGGGGGGATGGGCCAGGCCGGGGTTGCGGGGGCGGCGGGTGGCGCGGGGAGGGGTGGGCCTTACGCGGGGCGGGGGTGGCACGGGGCGGATGGGTCAGACGGGTGGCAGAGGGGGCGGGGGGTGTCACGGGGGGGGATGGGCCAGGCGGGAGGTGCGGGGGGCCTCAGGGGGAGGGGTGGGTCTGCCGGGGGTGGGGGTGTCGGGTGGCATGCGGGCGATGGGCCAGGCGCGGGGCAGGGGGGCGGCACGGGGAGAGGTGGGTCTGCCGGGGGCCGTTGGGGGTGGGGGTGGCGGGTGGCATGGGGGGGGATGGGCCAGGCGCGGGGCAGGGGGGGAGGGGATGGTGGGTGGGGGGCGGGGGTGGCACGGGGATGGGTGGGTCTGGCGGGGCGGGGCGGGGGTGGCACGGGTGGGATGGGTCAGGCGGGGTGGCAGGGGAATGGCTGGGGGGGGCGGCACGGGGAGGGGTGGGTCTGCCGGGGGCCGGTGGGGGTGGCGGGTGGCATGGGGGGGGATGGGCCAGGCACGGGGGCTGGGGGCGGCACGGGGGTGGGTGGGTCTGGCGCGGGGCGGGGGTGGCACGGGGGGGATGGGTCAGACGGGTGGCAGGGGAGGCGGGGGGCGGCACGGGGAGGGGTGGGTCTGCCGGGGTGGCGGGAGGGGGTGGGATGGACCGGGCGGGGGGCGGCACGGGGAGGGGGTGGGGCTGCCGGGGGCCGGTGGGGGTGGCGGGTGGCATGGGGGGGGATGGGCCAGGCGCGGGGCAGGGGGGCCGGGGGCGGCACGGGGATGGGTGGGTCTGGCGCGGGGCGGGGGTGGCACGGGGGGGATGGGTCAGACGGGTGGCAGGGGAGGCGGGGGGTGTCACGGGGGGTGGGATGGACCGGGCGGGGGGCGGCGCGGGGAGGGGTGGGTCTGCCGGGGGGCGCGGGGGGTGGCGAGTGGCATGGGGGGGATGGGCCAGGCGCGGGGTAGGGGGGCGGGGGGGGGGGAGGGGTGGGTTGCGGGGGGGGGGGGTGGCGAGTGGCATGGGGGGGATGGGCCAGGCGCGGGGTAGGGGGGCGGGGGGCGGCGCGGGGAGGGGAGGGGTGGGTCTGCCGGGGGCCGCGGGGCGGGCGGGTCCCGGGGGAGCGGGGACGTGTCCCGGCCACGTGGCCTCGCCTCATAGGGGCGGAGCCGAGCGGGGGCGGGGCGGGGCGCGGGGCCGCTGCTGAACCGCCGGGACCGGGAGCGGCTGCGGAGCCGGCGGGATGCGGGTGCGTGTGTCGGGGCGCGGGGTGCAGTGAGCGCAGCGCGGGGTGCGGGCTCCGGGGCAGTGATGCAGCGGATGTGAATGCAGTGAGTGCCCTGGGTGCAGCAGACAGAGCGGGTGCCGTGGGTGCGGGTGCCGTGGGTGCTCTGCGTGCAGTGGGTGCGGGTGCCGTGGGTGCTCTGCGTGCAGTGGGTGCGGGTGCCGTGGGTGCGGGTGCCGTGGGTGCTCTGCGTGCCGTGGGTGCGGGTGCCGTGGGTGCTCTGCGTGCAGTGGGTGCGGGTGCCGTGGGTGCGGGGGTGGTGCGGGTGCCGTGGGTGCGGGTGCCGTGGGTGCTCTGCGTGCCGTGGGTGTGGGTGCCGTGGGTGCGGGTGCCGTGGGTGCTCTGCGTTCAGTGGGTGCGGGTGCCGTGGGTGCTCTGCGTGCAGTGGCTGCCCGGGCTGCACTATGGCAGTGTGTGTTTCTGGCACAGCCGCACGCTGGCGCTCCCCGGGCTGGCTGTGGGGGGCCGTGTGGCTCTGGGTGCCCCGTGCTGGGTCTGGGTGGTGGCGTGAGACCCCGTGTGCACAGTGTGTGCGGCGTGTCCCTGCCTTGGCCGGGGGGTACCAGGGAGCTGCTGGACAGGTGTGGGGGTGGGGGGCTTTGCCGGCGCGTGGCCCTGCGTGTGGCTGGGGCCGTGGGGTGTCGTGTGGGGCAGGCTGTGGGAGGCTGTTGTGTGTGGGAGGGTCCCTGTGTCTGGGTCGCTGTGCCCGGCGGGTGATGTCTGGCTGTGCCCGGTGCCCAGGGCCTGGCGCTGGCTGCTCCGTGTGTGTGGGGAGAAGCTCGGGGCCCGGCTCTAGTCTAGGGGATGTTTTGCCTACAGGGGGAGAGGGGGGCCCCGCCGCAGGCTCTGGTCACCCTTGCAAAGGGCTCTGGGGCCACCCTGGGGGCCGGTGGGGGCCGCGCCCTGCCCTGCGCCCTGGCCGGGTCTGTGTGTATGATGGGCATGTGGTGGCATGGCCTAGTCATGTTACATGGGTGCTCCGTCCTGCCCACTGGGCCTGGCCCAGCCCAGCTCGGGGTGTCTTTGTCTAATGCAAGTCCTGCGGGCATCTCTGCCAGTGGCAGGGGAAGCCCCAGTGCATGCTGGGTACACTCTGTGTGCCAGGGCTGGGGGGCATTCGAACAGACGAGCAGGGTGGATGCACAGGGTCAGGCCGCGCCAGCGGGTGCCAGGGAGGAGGGACAAAACGGGGCAGGAGCGGGGCAGCTGGAGAGCAAAGGGACTTGCACGGCCCATAATGCACCTCTCCAGAGGGCCCCCACCACGGAGATGCTGTGCCCCGGGCTGGGGCCTTGTTCTCCCCCAGACCCATCTCCTGTTGACGCCTGCCCTGGGAAAGTGGCACCTGCCACGGCACCAGGTCAGTGGAGACAGGGTGGCATGGGGTGAGGTCAGTCCCACGCTGCCACCTGGGCTCCTGGCTGCGGGTGCAAAATGGTCACGGTGCCAGAGCAGGGCACGGGGAGCCTGGATCCCCCAGAGCAGCCTCCCCACTGGCTCAGCCTCCCACAGCCGTGGCCAGCCGGCCCTGGGGCTGTGACTTACCCCACTGGGCGCACGCCCAGGGAACCCCGCACATACGGCTGCTTCCGTGCACCCCACATGGTGCCTCGCTGGGCTCCAGGCACTCCGCGCAGCAGGGCACTGCACCAAAGGGCCAGGCCCCGGCGGAGTTGGACGCCACCGGAGGGAGACTCAGCCCGTGAGTTACAGGGACCCTCACGCTGGGCTCCGGCAGGGGGTGACGCGGCTGCTTGTCCCCCCCAGGCCGTCCCCCACTCTGGTCTCAGGATGAGGAGCTTGTTGCTGGCGTCTCTGCTGCTGGCCGTGACTCCTGGCTGGGCCGCGCCCAAGGACAGCGTCAACAGGTATGAGAAAGCAGGTCTGCCACGGCCCTGCCAGGGGGGAGCCTGGGTGGGGAGCGGGGCAGGAGCATGGGGGGGGAGAGCTCCCAGCAGGGGGTGCTGTGGGAGCAGGGCCATAGCACTGGCTGGGGGGGCATTGTGGGGAGAGAGGCCGGAGCCCTGTCTGTAGGGGGTGTGCTGTGGGGGGGCGGGGCCGGACCCCTGGCTGCAGGGGGGATGTTGGTGGGGTGGGGTGGGGCCGGACCCCTGGCTGCAGGGGGGTGCTGTGGGGAGCCCTGGTGTCTGTACTGCCCCACTGGCTGCTGTAGGCACTGGAGTCCCTGGGCTGCACTGTGGGGCTGGATCCCGCCCCTGTGAGCCCTGTTTCCCCATTTGTTGCTCCCAGGTCTGAGCGCCCTGCTGCGGAGCCTGTTCCCAACCTTCTGCACCCCGAGCCGGAGGAGCTGCGGTGAGTCCAACTCCCCCAGGGAGGGACCCCGGGCCTGGGGCTGAGCAGCTGGCAGGGAGCCTTGCCTGTGGTGGGACGGGTCTGTGGGGGCGACTGATGCACTGGGGGTTTCCCTGGGGCCCCACTCCCTGGATGTGTTGATGGGGGCAGGGCAGGGGCACTGACTGGGGTGGGATCTGTCTGTCTTTTGAGGGCGCAGCATTTGCGGGATGCTTTGCTGCAGTGATGCGCCTGGCTGGGGCCCGGGCAGAGCAGCCTGGGATGGGGGGCAGGGGGAGTCACAGGCTGGGACAGGGAGTTGGCAGGACAGAGTCCCATGAAGGGCCGTGCGGTTTGGGGGGTGTCAGTGGGCTTGGGAGGGTTGAGGATGTGAATCAGAGAAAGCATCAGCAGAACCAATGGTCCAGCTGGCCCAGGAGCCTGTCTGCTGGTGCCAGGCACTTCACCGGGAGTGACCAGAACAGGACAGCTGTTGAGTGACGCAGCCTGTCATCCAGTCCAGCTTCTGGTCTAGGGACGCCCAGAGCAGGGGGTGTGTCCCTGCCCAGCCTGGCTAATAGCTGTTGTTGGACCCATCCTCCAGGAACTTAGCTAGTTTCTTTTTTGAACCTGTTATGGTCTTGGCCTTCACAACATCCACTGGCAAGGAGTTCCACAGGTTGACTGTGCGTTGTGTGAAGAAATACGGCCTTTTGTTTGTTTTAAACCTGCTGCCTAGTAATTCATAGGGTGACTCTGGTTCTTGTTTCAGAGGAACAGCCGTGTTAGTCTGTATTCGCAAAAAGAAAAGGAGTACTTGTGGCACCTTAGAGACTAACCAATTTATTTGAGCATGAGCTTTCGTGAGCCACAGCTCATTTCATCAGATGTGTACCGTGGAAACTGCAGCAGACTTTATATACACACAGAGAATATGAAACAATACCTCCTCCCACCCCACTGTCCTGCTGGTAATAGCTTATCTAAAGTGATCAACAGGTGGGCCATTTCCAGCACAAATCCAGGTTTTCTCACCCTCCACCCCCCCACACAAATTCACTCTCCTGCTGGTGCTAGCCCATCCAAAGTGACAACTCTTTACATAATCAAGTCGGGCTATTTCCTGCATAGATCCAGGTTTTCTCACTTCCCCCCCACCCCCATACACACACAAACTCACTCTCCTGCTGGTAATAGCTCATCTAAACTGACCACTCTCCAAGTTTAAATCCAAGTTAAACCAGAATATCTGGGGGGGGGGGGGTAGGAAAAAACAAGAGGAAACAGGCTACCTTGCATAATGACTTAGCCACTCCCAGTCTCTATTTAAGCCTAAATTAATAGTATCCAATTTGCAAATGAATTCCAATTCAGCAGTTTCTCGCTGGAGTCTGGATTTGAAGTTTTTTGTTTTAAGATAGCGACCTTCATGTCTGTGATTGCGTGACCAGAGAGATTGAAGTGTTCTCCGACTGGTTTATGAATGTTAGAATTCTTGACATCTGATTTGTGTCCATTTATTCTTTTACGTAGAGACTGTCCAGTTTGACCGATGTACATGGCAGAGGGGCATTGCTGGCACATGATGGCATATATCACATTGGTGGATGTGCAGGTGAACGAGCCTCTGATATTGTGGCTGATGTTATTAGGCCCTGTGATGGTGTCCCCTGAATAGATATGTGGGCACAATTGGCAACGGGCTTTGTTGCAAGGATAAGTTCCTGGGTTAGTGGTTCTGTTGTGTGGTATGTGGTTGTTGGTGAGTATTTGCTTCAGGTTGCGGGGCTGTCTGTAGGCAAGGACTGGCCTGTCTCCCAAGACTTGTGAGAGTGTTGGGTCATCCTTTAGGATAGGTTGTAGATCCTTAATAATGCGTTGGAGGGGGTTTTAGTTGGGGGCTGAAGGTGACCGCTAGTGGCGTTCTGTTATTTTCTTTGTTAGGCCTGTCCTGTAGTAGGTAACTTCTGGGAACTCTTCTGGCTCTATCAATCTGTTTCTTTACTTCTGCAGGTGGGTATTGTAGTTGTAAGAAAGCTTGACAGAGATCTTGTAGGTGTTTGTCTCTGTCTGAGGGGTTGGAGCAAATGCGGTTGTATCGCAGAGCTTGGCTGTACACGATGGATCGTGTGGTGTGGTCAGGGTGAAAGCTGGAGGCATGCAGGTAGGAATAGCGGTCAGTAGGTTTCCGGTATAGGGTGGTGTTTATGTGGCCATTGTTTATTAGCACTGTAGTGTCCAGGAAGTGGATCTCTTGTGTGGCCTGGACCAGGCTGAGGTTGGTGGTGGGATGGAAATTGTTGAAATCATGGTGGAATTCCTCAAGGGCTTCTTTTCCATGGGTCCAGATGATGAAGATCTTCATCATGGAAAAGAAGCCCTTGAGGAATTCCACCATGATTTCAACAATTTCCATCCCACCACCAACCTCAGCCTGGTCCAGTCCACACAAGAGATCCACTTCCTGGACACTACAGTGCTAATAAACAATGGCCACATAAACACCACCCTATACCGGAAACCTACTGACCGCTATTCCTACCTGCATGCCTCCAGCTTTCACCCTGACCACACCACACGATCCATCGTCTACAGCCAAGCTCTGCGATACAACCGCATTTGCTCCAACCCCCTCAGACAGAGGCAAACACCTACAAGATCTCTGTCAAGCTTTCTTACAACTACAATACCCACCTGCAGAAGTAAAGAAACAGATTGATAGAGCCAGAAGAGTTCCCAGAAGTTACCTACTACAGGACAGGCCTAACAAAGAAAATAACAGAACGCCACTAGCGGTCACCTTCAGCCCCCAACTAAAACCCCTCCAACGCATTATTAAGGATCTACAACCTATCCTAAAGGATGACCCAACACTCTCACAAGTCTTGGGAGACAGGCCAGTCCTTGCCTACAGACAGCCCCGCAACCTGAAGCAAATACTCACCAACAACCACATACCACACAACAGAACCACTAACCCAGGAACTTATCCTTGCAACAAAGCCCGTTGCCAATTGTGCCCACATATCTATTCAGGGGACACCATCACAGGGCCTAATAACATCAGCCACACTATCAGAGGCTCGTTCACCTGCACATCCACCAATGTGATATATGCCATCATGTGCCAGCAATGCCCCTCTGCCATGTACATCGGTCAAACTGGACAGTCTCTACGTAAAAGAATAAATGGACACAAATCAGATGTCAAGAATTCTAACATTCATAAACCAGTCGGAGAACACTTCAATCTCTCTGGTCACGCAATCACAGACATGAAGGTCGCTATCTTAAAACAAAAAAACTTCAAATCCAGACTCCAGCGAGAAACTGCTGAATTGGAATTCATTTGCAAATTGGATACTATTAATTTAGGCTTAAATAGAGACTGGGAGTGGCTAAGTCATTATGCAAGGTAGCCTGTTTCCTCTTGTTTTTTCCCTACCCCCCCCCCCCAGATATTCTGGTTTAACTTGGATTTAAACTTGGAGAGTGGTCAGTTTAGATGAGCTATTACCAGCAGGAGAGTGAGTTTGTGTGTGTATGGGGGTGGGGGGAAGTGAGAAAACCTGGATCTATGCAGGAAATAGCCCGACTTGATTATGTAAAGAGTTGTCACTTTGGATGGGCTAGCACCAGCAGGAGAGTGAATTTGTGTGGGGGGGTGGAGGGTGAGAAAACCTGGATTTGTGCTGGAAATGGCCCACCTGTTGATCACTTTAGATAAGCTATTACCAGCAGGACAGTGGGGTGGGAGGAGGTATTGTTTCATATTCTCTGTGTGTATATAAAGTCTGCTGCAGTTTCCACGGTACACATCTGATGAAGTGAGCTGTGGCTCATGAAAGCTCATGCTCAAATAAATTGGTTAGTCTCTAAGGTGCCACAAGTACTCCTTTTCTTTCTGGTTCTTGTGTTATGAGAAGGAGTAAATTACACTTCCTGATTCACTTTCTCCATACCAGTCATGCTTTTAGAGACGACAATCATATGCCTCCTTAGTCGTCTCTTTTCCAAGCTGAAAAGTCTCAGTCTTATTAATCTCTCCTCATACAGAAGCCGTTCCAGACCCCTAATCATTTTTGTTGCCCTTTTCTGAACCTTTTCCAATTCCAGTATCTCTTTTTGGAGATGGGGCGACCACATCCGCACACAGTATTCAAGCTGTGGACGTACCATGGATTTATATAGAGGCAACATGATATTTTCTGTCTTCCTATCTATCCCTTTCCTAATGGTTCCCAGCATCCTGTTTGCTTTTTTGGCTGCTGCTGCGCATTGAGTGGATGTTTTCAGAGAACTATCCACAGTGACTTCAAGATCTTTCTTTTTTGTCCATATAGCTGGGATTGTGTTTCCCAATGTGCGTTACTTTACATTTACCAACACCAAATTTCCTCTGCCATCTTGTTGCCCAGTCACCCAGTTTTGTGAGATCCCTTTGTAGCTCTTCGCAGTCTGCCTGGGATGTAACTATCTTGAGTAGGTTTGTATCATCTGCAAATTTTGCCACCTCACTGTTCACCCCTTTTTCCAGATCATTTATGAAAATGTTGAATAGGACTGGGCCCAGCACAGACCCCTGGGGACCCCACTATTTACCTCTCTCCATTCTGAGAACTGACCATTTATTCCTCCCCTTTGTTTCCTTTTAACCAGTTACTGATCCAGAGCTGGGCTGGGTCAGGTCCCGCTGGGTCCCAGGGGTGAGTGCAGCAGGGACGGGGCAGGGCCCATGGGAGCAGTTGACGGGCAGAAGGGACCCATGGGAGATTGTTGGCTCACCCCACGTGCCCTGCTGGCTCCAGGCCTGGTGCACTGCAGACCATGGGGTCTGACCCCCAGCCTAGCACCAGCCCAAGGCCTGCCCCAGAGCAGAGCTGGCAGAGGACTAGCCAGCCTTGGCAAACTGTCCCTGGGGTTAATTACCTGAGTCTGCTTTGTCCAGCCTCCCCCTCCTTGGCTCGCCTTGGCCCTTTCTCTGCTCTCCCCTGCCCCTGTTATTCCGTACCCCCCTGGCACCCCCACAGCCCCCAGCCCGGCCTCACTCTGCTCCCTGTTCCAGGCTGCTGCAGAGCTACCTGCAAAGCGTCCGGCAGATGGCCCAGGACCCCGCTCACATGACGAGAGAGCAGGGTAAGGGGCACGTCCCGCCAGCGCCAAGGGAGGGGGGCTGGAGCATGAGGGGGTGGCTGTGTTCATGTGGGGTCAGGGTGGTGAGAGGGCCCCCCCACAGGTGCCCAGTGGCTCTCACACTGCCCTGGCAGCTGACATGTTCCGGCCCTATTCCTGGGCAAGGGGTGCCCAGGCTCCATGCAGACACCCCGGCCCTCCTGCCTGCCACAGCTGCTGATGCCCCCCGACTCCCCCTCTCTCGCAGTGCTGCTCTACCTCTTCGCGCTACACGACTACGACAGGACTGGGCAGCTGGACGGGCTGGAGTTCATGCAGCTGCTGCTGGACGTGATAGCCCAGCACGCCCAGGGGCAGCCCTCTCCCGACGCGGTAGGTGCCGCTCAGAACTCCCTCCACCCCCAGGTGCTGGGGGACTCTGGGCCAGCGGGAGTCCATGCCATGGCCGGGGCCAGCAGGCATGGGGGTGGGCGCATCTCCCCTGGGCTGAGATCTGGGCCTGGCTGGTGACTGGCAGCCTCCCTCTCCGCTCAGAGCACGGGCAGCACCAAGGAGAACATCTTGGGGGACCCCCTGTAGGGGGGACAGCTCAGGCACCCCACAACACAAAGGCTGACTCCCAAGAGCCAGCCAGTCCCCACCCTGGGCCAGCTGGGAGCCAGCGCCCCCTAGAGGGGACAGGCCCCATGCCCCATTCCCCACCCCTGAGCCAGACAGTCCCTGCCCTGGTGCCGGCGCCCCTAGAGGGGACAGGCTCCATGCCCCATTCCCCGCCCCCCAGTCTGCTCCCCGCAGCGCTGTGCAAACGTCCCATCTCTGCTCTCCTACCCCTGCAGGTGATCGTGGTGGTAGACGGGATCCTGGAGACTCAGGACCTGAACAGGGACGGGTTACTGAACCCCTCGGAGCTCCTGCTGCCCCCAGCCCAGAGCCAGCCTCCCCTGCCAGCCCAGACTGAGGCCCCCGATGGAGAAGGGGTTGTGCAGTGGGCAGTTGAGGAGCCAGAGCAACCTGCCACGGCCCTAGCGCTCGCAGGCGCCCAGGGGGCAGCAGACCCCAGTGTGGAGCTCCCAGAGGCAGCAGGGCCCTTAGCCGAGGAGCTGGAGGCTAGGGGTCTCTTGCTGAGCCAGACGGGGACAGAGGTGGCTCAGCCCGAAGAGGAGGCTGCCAAGGAGTCTCCAGGGGCCCCGGCCGGGGCCCCCAATGCAGAGATCTAGGCCCCCAGCCTAGATCCACGGCAAGCTCAGGGCACTGCCGGGGCAGATCAGAGCTGGCACGGGGAATGCAGGTGCGGGGGCTGCTGTGCACAGAGAAACTGAGGTGGTGGAGGGGAAACGTCTGCCAGGGACCCCCCCACACACCCTGGGTCTGGCTGTGAGTGGTGCCAGGGGGGTGGGGTGGCGAGGGGCTGCCTCCCTCCCCACCCCTGGGGAAAGTAGCTGCGCTCAGCCCTGCCTAGCCTGCCTGGGCCCCAGGGGGGCAATTCCTGTGGGGAGCGTGTGAGACAACCCCTCAGGACAAGGGGCCGTAGGTGCCTGACCCCTAATTGGGCTGGGGGACCCAGGAGCCACCCCGGGAGCTGCAGGCACAGCATCAAAGCAGGGTTACCCTGGCCAGCTCTGAACTGTCCCCCCACTTGGCCCCCAAGAGCAGCAGAAGCTGGCTGCCTGGATAGAGGGGCCGGGGGGGAGGGGGGGCACTGGGACATGTGCAATCGATCATGTAACTTACACTTTGAAGAGAGAAAAATATACATTGAGCCCCAGGGCTCCTGGCCCCCCTCCCTGGATGCGCTGCGCCATGCCCCCAGGAGCTGTGGGGGTAGGACACGTACTGGTGGGGGGAAGCGGAGAGAGGGAAAGGAGTTTGCCCAGCCAGCAGGGCTCGCCCAGCTGAGGGTGCCTCCTGCCCATCCCCACAGGGGGCTGAGGCCATCGGGAAATCTCCCCCCTGCCCCGCCCTGAGCAGGCTGCAGCTGTGTGGGCTGACCAGTGACCCTGCTCTGGGTACTGGCTGCCAGGGCACAGATAACAAGGTCCGCTCCCAGACTGCTGCGCTGGGCATCACAGCATGGGGAGTAGATGGCCAGCCCTCTGTGGAGAAAGAGGTGGTTAGGGACTATTTAGAAAAGCTGGACGAGCACAAGTCCATGGGGCCGGACGAGTTGCATCCGAGAGTGCTAAAGGAGTTGGCGGATGTGATTGCAGAGCCATTGGCCATTATCTTTGAAAACTCGTGGCAAACGGGGGAAGTCCCGGATGACTGGAAAAAGGCTAATGTAGTGCCAATCTTTAAAAAAGGGAAGAAGGAGGATCCTGGGAACTACAGGTCAGTCAGCCTCACCTCAGTCCCCGGAAAAATCATGGAGCAGGTCCTCAAAGAATCAATCCTGAAGCACTTACATGAGAGGAAAGTGATCAGGAACAGTCAGCATGGATTCACCAAGGGAAGGTCATGCCTGACTAATCTAATCGCCTTCTATGATGAGATTACTGGTTCTGTGGATGAAGGGAAAGCAGTGGATGTATTGTTTCTTGACTTTAGCAAAGCTTTTGACACGGTCTCCCACAGTATTCTTGTCAGCAAGTTAAGGAAGTATGGGCTGGATGAATGCACTATAAGGTGGGTAGAAAGTTGGCTAGATTGTCGGGCTCAACGGGTAGTGATCAATGGCTCCATGTCTAGTTGGCAGCCGGTGTCAAGTGGAGTGCCCCAGGGGTCGGTCCTGGGGCCGGTTTTGTTCAATATCTTCATAAATGATCTGGAGGATGGTGTGGATTGCACTCTCAGCAAATTTGCGGATGATACTAAACTAGGAGGAGTGGTAGATACGCTGGAGGGCAGGGATAGGATACAGAGGGACCTAGACAAATTGGAGGATTGGGCCAAAAGAAATCTGATGAGGTTCAATAAGGATAAGTGCAGGGTCCTGCACTTAGGACGGAAGAAACCAATGCACCGCTACAGACTAGGGACCGAATGGCTAGGCAGCAGTTCTGCGGAAAAGGACCTAGGGGTGACAGTGGACGAGAAGCTGGATATGAGTCAGCAGTGTGCCCTTGTTGCCAAGAAGGCCAATGGCATTTTGGGATGTATAAGTAGGGGCATAGCGAGCAGATCGAGGGACGTGATCGTCCCCCTCTATTCGACATTGGTGAGGCCTCATCTGGAGTACTGTGTCCAGTTTTGGGTCCCACACTACAAGAAGGATGTGGATAAATTGGAGAGAGTCCAGCAAAGGGCAACAAAAATGATTAGGGGTCTAGAACACATGAGTTATGAGGAGAGGCTGAGGGAAGTGGGATTGTTTAGTCTGCAGAAGAGAAGAATGAGGGGGGATTTGATAGCTGCTTTCAACTACCTGAGAGGTGGTTCCAGAGAGGATGGTTCTAGACTATTCTCAGTGGTAGCAGATGACAGAACGAGGAGTAATGGTTTCAAGTTGCAGTGGGGGAGGTTTAGGTTGGATATTAGGAAAAACTTTTTCACCAAGAGGGTGGTGAAACACTGGAATGCGTTCCCTAGGGAGGTGGTGGAATCTCCTTCCTTAGAGGTTTTTAAGGTCAGGCTTGACAAAGCCCTGGCTGGGATGATTTAATTGGGGATCGGTCCTGCTTTTGAACAGGGGGTGGGACTAGATGACCTCCTGAGGTCCCTTCCAACCCTGATATTCTATGATTCTATAACTAGCCCATCCCTCTGGAAGCAGGGCCTGGCACAAGCCTTCTGCCTCCTTTGCAGGGCCCCACAGGCCCCGAGCCAGAGGGTGGGAGAAAGTGGGGGTGCTTCCATCAGCTATACCAGGGGGCCATTCCCTTTGGGGAGAGCCAGGGGTTTAACCCCTGCCTCCTTCAGTGACTGGCGCAGGAGCTTTGCCCTGCCCCTGAGACGGGCACCACAGCCCCAGTGGCCAGCCCGAGGGGGAGCAGTGCACCCCCCAGCCAGGGTCTAGCTGCCCCCACTAAGGACTGCTGCCATGAGGCGGGCAGGAGGCCAGGTCCACCCAGCCAGCTCTGAGACTGCCCCACCCCATGAGAGCCCAGCCAAACAGCCAGGGGGCCTTCCAGGGCCCTCCTTGGCCCCAGGCCAGTCCCTCCACTCAGCCCATGGCCACCGTTCCTGGGCACCTCCCGCTCCCCTGAGGCCAGACTTAGCCCTGCCTGCTCCGGGCGCTGGGGTGGGCAGGCACCATGCTGAGGAGAGCTCCCTGGGAGCCAGGCCCTGGAGCACTTCGACCTACAGCTGGACACCCCCAATCACAGTCAGAATGGAGGCTGGGGCCTGGGAGCCCAGAGGGCAGAGCGGGGGCAGCCCCTCCTTCAGATGGCCCCACCTGCCCCCAACCCCTCACCCATCTTGCCAGGGGCTCGAGCTGGTATCAGGGGGGAGCGGCCTGGGCAGGAAGCCTGGCAGCCCCTGGCATGAGGAGCCTGTTCTGCAGAGAGGCAGCTGCCCCCGCTGCGCTTCCTTTAAGGCGGGGAGCAGCAGGGAGCCCCTTCCTGGGGGTCCAGGAGCCAGTGCCAACCCCAGGCAGGAGGGTCTGCTAGCCACAGGAACGGCTGCACCACGGCTCCGACTGCCCACCCCCAGGCTGGGGAGGGGGCTCCTGGGCGGGCACAGCTCACATGCCGACGTCCGTCTGGCCAGCTCAGCAGCACCCTGGGAACTCGCCCGCCGGGCCCTGGCGGCCGGACTGCGGCTGCAGTGAGAAGAGCAGGCACAGCAGCTGTTCCCAAGTGTTTATTGGCTCCACTGGACAGGGAGGGGACCCACAGGGCTTGGTACAGTGCCAGGGCAGCGTGGCACCCGGCGGGCAGCGCCAACAGCTCAGCCCTCCCGCCCTAGGAAATCCCAGCTCGGCAGCCCCAGCCGCAGCCTCCTCCAGCTCACACGATGCTGTCGTACCCGTGGACCCCGCACTTCCTGCCGGCCACCTGGCAGCCGAAGGTCAGCGCCTCCTGCAGCCTCTGCCCTGTCACGGGAGAACAAGCCGCCCGTCAGCCGGTGGCGGTGCTGGCAGGGAGAGGCCCCCGACGGCAGCGCAGACCCACCTCTCGACAGGGCCAAGATGACGGCGGCGTTGAAGGTGTCTCCAGCGCCCAGCGTGTCCAGGATGGTCTCTGGGGGGAAGGCGTCCGAGTGGACGAGCTCCCCGTCCGGCCCCAGCGCGTCAGCCCCTGCCTCGGCCCAGGCGCAGATGACAGTGGCCCTGGGGGCACAGCAGTGCAGCGTGACCGTGACCCCACAGCCAGCCCCGCCCCCGCTCGGCCAGCTGCCCCCAGCCCAGGCAGGGCCCCGCGGGAACCGCTCTGAACCCACCGGCCCATTTCACCGCAGCCAGCAGCGCCCGGTACCCTCCAGAGCCAGCTCTGGGCCCTGCCCCCTCCTCTGGGGTGAGCAGAGGGGTCCTGCTCCCCCCATGCCTCAGGCAGCGTGGGCTGAGGAGGGCCTGGAGGCCGCCCACGGCTGCGTCGCTCTGCCCAGGGCAGGGCAGTGAGTCCCTGGCCCCCCCATGCCAGGTTCATCCTCCCAGTTTGGGCCCACGTGGCCCAGGCCTACCCTGGTCTCACGCGGGTGTGAAGCCCCCTCACGGCCTCCGCAGCCGACTGGAAACCAAAGTCCTTCGCCACGTCCTTGCTGACAAATACCTGCCAGGAAAGAAGGGGAGTGAGGGGGCGGGGGCAGGTAGCCAGAGCCAATGAACAATACCAGTGCCCCATAGCCAGCACCAAGCCCCTGCCCCCCAGCCAGTGTCCCCGATGCCCCAGAGCCAGTGCCCCCAATGCCCCAGAGCCAGCACCAAGCCCCTGCCCCCCAGCCAGTGTCCCCGATGCCCCAGAGCCAGTGCCCAGCCCCTGCCCCAGCCAGTGCCCCCAATGCTCCAGAGCCAGCACCAAGCCCCTGCCCCCCAGCCAGTGCCTCCGATGCCCCAGAGCCAGCACCAAGCCCCTGCCCCCCAGCCAGTGCCCCCGATGCCCCAGAGCCAGTGCCCAGCCCCCGCCCCAACACCCCCCCCCCGCGAGCTCAGCAGGAGCCACAAGCCCCAGCCCCCTGAGCCATGCAGGAGCTGGCATCTGATTGGCTAGTGAGACTGCTCAGCTGGCCAATCAGCTCCCCTCCTCGCTGGCACCCCAGACACCTGTCCTGTCTCCCGCAGGCAGGTGCCCACCTGGACAGCCCCTCCCAGAGCAGTGAGCTGGCACCAGCTGCCCAGAGCGCCCCCCCGGGCACGGGCCACAGACCCCCCCCCAGGGCATGGGCCACGGAGAACGAGCCAGCTGCCCAGAGCGCCCCTCCAACCCCGGGCACGGGCCACGGAGAATGATCCAGCTGCCCCGTGCGCCCCCCCAGGGCATGGGCCACGGAGCCGGAGAACGAGGGCCAGCTGCCCCGTGGCCCCCGGCAGGGGGGAGAGAGAGCGCCCGCCCCAACCCCGGGCACGGGCCACGGAGAATGATCCAGCTGCCCCGTGCGCCCCCCCAGGGCATGGGCCACGGAGAACGAGCCAGCTGCCCAGAGCGCCCCCCAACCCCGGGCACGGGCCACAGAGAACGAGCCAGCTGCCCAGAGCGCCCCCCAACCCCGGGCACGGGCCACAGAGAACGAGCCAGCTGCCCAGAGCGCCCCCCAACCCCGGGCACGGGCCACAGATAATGAGTCAGCTGCCCAGAACCCGTGCCCCCCCCAGGGCATGGGCCATGGAGAACGAGCCAGCTGCCCAGATCGCCCCCCCTGGGCACGGGCCACAGACCTCCCCAGGGCATGGGC